ATATATATATATATTTTTTTTTTACAGGAAATCAACAGATTAGATGAAGCAGAGGATCCAACCAGCAATGTAGAAGATACGGTAGCAGAAAACACCCAACCAGAACAGCAAAAAGAATACAGAATCCAAAAAATTGAGAATAGTTTAAGGGGCCTCCGGGACAATATCAAGCACACCAATATTGGCATTATAGGGGTACCAGGAGGAGGAGAGCGAGAGCAAGAGATTGAAAACCTATTTGAAGAAATAATGACAGAAAACGTCCCTAACCTGGTGAAGAAAATGAACATACAAGCCCAGGAAGCACAAAGAGCCCCAAACAAGATGAACCCGAAGAGGCCCACACCAAGACCCATCATAATCAAAATGCCAAAGAGAGAATCTTAAAAGCAGCGAGAGAAAAGCAGTTACTTACTTACAAGGGAGCCCCCATAAGACTGGCAGCTGATTTCTCAACAGAAACTTTGCAGGACAGAAGGGACTGGCGGGAAATATTCCAAGTGATGCAAAGCAATGACATACAATGAAGACCGTTCTACCCAGCACGGCTGTCATTTAGAATTGAAGGACAGATAAGGAGCTTCCCAGACAAGAAAAAGCTGAAGCTCATCACCACCAAACCAGTATTACAAGGAATCTTAGAGGGATTTCTTTAAAATGGGAGGGAGGTTAAGGACGGGTGAAAGGGGAAGGGATTAAGAAGAACAAATTAGCTGTTACACAGTAGTCATGGGGATGCAGGTTATAGCATAAGGAGTATAGTCATTAACATTGTAATAACTATGTATGGTGCCAGACAGGTATTAGATCTATCAGAGTGATAGATGGGAATGGGGGTGGGGTCAGGGTAAAAAAGGTGAAGGTATTAAGAAATATAAATTCGGGCCGGCCGAGTGGCTCAGTTGGTTAAGAGCTCGCTCAAGAGTTTGAGCTCTGAGCAACAGCGGTTCGAGTCCAGCCCGAGCTGAGCAGCCGCTGAGCTGCCACCAGGTAGCAGGATGGCTCAGCTTAAAAAAAAAAAAACAAAAAAAGAAAAAGAAATATAAATTCATGGGGACTATAATCAACGATGTTGTAAAGATCATGTAAGGTGCCAGACGGGCACTGGACTTATCAGGGAGACCATGTCATGAGCTGTGTAGATGCCTGACCCATGCGCTACACACCTGAAGAGCTGAAGAATAATAATGAATGTCAACTGTAACTAAATATATAGTTATATATAGTCACGGAATGTAGAGTACAACATAGGGAAGATAGTTGATGGTACTGTAACAGCTATATAAGATGTCAGAGGGGTAGTAGCTTGGGGGGCAGGTTATCACTTTATGAGGGGTTTAAATGTCTATTACATTGCTCTGTACACCTGAAACTAATAAAAAAATAATAAAAATTAAAAAATAAACAAAGTAAAAGACCTCTTACTGCCTCTCCCACCTCCTACAATGAAGAAGGAAATACAGCAAGTGGGTCTCTTCGGGTTCAAGACGCAGCATACTCGTAATCCCCACCCAGCAACACTGCTTCGGCCCATTTACAGAGCGGTGCAAAAGGCCGCCAGCTCCGAACGTGGCTCAGGTGAGAAAGGCAAGAAGGTTCCAAGCTGCAGTGCAAACAGCCCTGCTGCAGGGGCCATACGATTCAGGAAATCCTACACTGCCGGTGGGAAGATGCTGAGAGGAGTTGGTGGCCATTCTGGGAGAATCACAATGCTGGGCTCTTGAGCTCCGGGGCAAAGCCATGCCAGCGAGAGTAAAGAGTTCTATGCCTTTGAAAAACAACTTCTGGTGTGCTGCTGGGCTTTGGGAGCTATGGAAAGCATGGCCAAGGGACAGCAAATAGACATATGCCTGGAACTGCCCATCATAAGCTGGGTTCTGACAGTCCCACGCGGGCAAAAGTTTGGGTGGGACCAGAAACAACCCATCGTAAGCTGGAGGTGGTGCATCCGGAATTAAGCACACGAGGGAGCAGCAGGCACAATCAAGCTGCATAAGCAGGTGGCCCGCCACTATTGTACCAGCACCCCGCCCTCAGCTGGTGACTAAGGATGGAAGGAAGAAAGCAGAGGGAAAAGCCCAAGCTTGGTTTGCAAATGGCTCAGTCAGTAAGCTGAAAACAGAATGTGCTGCAGACTCATTTGGGGACGGCTTTAAAAGGCAGCGATGAGGGAACATCTTCCCAATGGGCAGTGTCAGGCCGTGTACCTGGTCATCCACTTTGTGTGGAAGGAGAAGTAGCCTGAGGTTAGAATAGAGATGGGCTCATGGCAGAAGCATGTGGCCATGCCAGCTGGTCAGAGGCCTAGAAGGAAAAAGATTGGAAGGTCAGGGATAAGAAGGCCATGGGAGAGGGACTCGTGGGTGGACAAGTGGGAGTGAGCACGACGGTCGCTCCATCACCTGTGGATGTCCATCAGAGAGGACCCACCGTGGAAGAGGGACTAACCACTGAGTCCACAAAATCACTCAGCCAGAGTGTCAGCCAGCCTCGCTCGATCAGCAGCCACCAGAGTTGACAGGACGGGCCCATGAATGAAGTGGCTACAGCAGCACAGATGGAGTGTTCATGTCAGCCCAACAGCATGGACACACTTACCACGGCTAAGCCAACGGCCACTGCTGAACATCCAACCAGCCACCTACAATGATCAATGCTGGGCCCCCAAAACGGCACCACTCCCTGAGGAGACCAACCTGCCACTTGGTAGGAAGCTGACTACATCGGCCCCGTGCATCTTCAAAGGGCCAGAAGTTTGGTCTCACAGGAATAAACATGACTCTGAGTATGAGTGTGCCTGTCCGCGGGTCCCCGCCAGCCCCATGGTCCACCCAGGTCTCCCTTCAAAGGGCCTGTGGGGACGGCAGTCAGCAGACAGCCTGCAGCCATTGGCTCCTTTAGGGTCAGCCTCCGCTGCAGATGCTCCTGCCCCAAAGTCGTGCCCTTCCTGGGGCAGCCTGCTCTGGGGACAGTGACTGAGGGGGACATGAAAACATTCCAGCCCAATGCAAGACCATTCCGAAAAGCCAGGCTTCACCAGGCCCATCACTGGTGGACTCGCCCTCTGCTCAATCCTGCCTCCGCTCTCCTCTGCCCAATTCCATTAAACATCTCGCACTCCAAGCTCCACTGCAGCATTTGCTTGCCAAGACCCCAAGCTGAGGCACACGTGTGGACACTCAGGACATGCAGTTCCTCCCTACACTTACCAACTGTCAAAGACAAAAGTGGTGAAAGTGAGGCAAGGAGTTCAAAATACCCATCACTGTCTCACTTATTCCTATTGTTTCACGACTGCAAACAAGTTTTAAATAGAAATTAAAATTTTATCTATACTATGTTTAAATGTAATATGCTGAATCATAAAAAGACAATCCCGGGATTAGTAAGTTATAAAAATAAAAGATAACAGGGAAAAATGAAAGAAAATACTTGAAAGGAAGTAGTTGTATATAACCCTATTATGTAAAAGTATTCAACTCGATCAGGCAGACATATTTGGAGTGCCCCCAACAAACCAGAGCTGGGGCACACAGCTAGAAGTGTCCATGTGCTATTCACAATTTAGTGGGGACAACAGACTAACAGACAGAACAGTATATACCCTATGTGCCCCAAAGGAAAGAGGACATGTGACTTAGGCACCTTAGTGAGATCATTTCTCAAAGGTAATTCATAACTGTTTGTAATAAAAACATGAAAAACAGACTACAATATGTATAGTTTTAAGATACCTAAAATAATTTTTAAAAAACTCAAATAGGGCCGGTCGAGTGGCTCAGTTGGTTAAGAGTGTAAGCTCTGAGCCACAGGGTCACCAGTTCGATTCCCACATGGGCCAGTGAGCTGCGCTCGAGCTAAGCTGCAGCTGAGCTGCCAACAGGTGGCAGGATGGCTCAGGTGGTGAGAGCACGTGCTTCTAACAACCAGGCTGCCAGTTCGACTCCCACATGGGATGGTGGGTTACGCCCACCCGCAACTAAGATTGAACACAGCACCTTGAGCTGAGCGGCCACGAGCTGCCAAAGGGCGGCCAGATAGCTCAGTGGTTAGAGCGTGCACTCTTAGCAACAAGGTTTCCGGTTCGACTCCCGCATGCGATGGTGGGCTACACTCACTCGCAACTAAGACTCAACAGGGCACCTTGAGCTGAGTGGCCACGAGTTGCTGATGGGCGGCCAGATGGCGACTAGACTTGGAGCTGAGCTAGCTCTGCCCTCCACAACTAAGATTGAAGGACAACAACTTGGCTGTTCCCCTTCCCCAATTCCCCAACACTGTTCGCCTTCCTCAATTCCCCAATCTTAAAAAAAAAAAAAAAAAATTCAAATACCTCGCCTATTTTAACTAATGAACCTTCCAAAACTTTTTAGTTTCCCTAGTAACATTCCCTACTCCAACTCCAAATTAAGGTACTTTTCTTCTCCAGTTAACAGTAACAGAGAATATTAGGGAATATAAAAGGACTTTTTCAGTGATCTGATTTCATTTATGGGAAAAAGAACAGCAGCACATCTGTGCACGTCCAGCTTCTCAGTGCTGCAAATGTGGCAACCCAACCAATCCAGTTACCTCTTCTCCAGGATAAATGCTGTGTCTAATTCCTGTGCGTCTTGCTTTCGCGCTACATTTGCAGAGTGGTCCGTCATTCATCTGTCAGAAACAAAAGGGGATTCGTTTTCACTGGGGGGAAATCCACGCCATACACGATGATGCTTCAGGAACTGTGTGAGTTTTAATGGCATGAGTACTGAAGCTCTGAAGAGGCTGTCACGGTTAGGAGATTAAAGGGATGTTCCAAAACCAATAAAGCTGCAAACTTGTCTATATTGTTTGATAAAAGGAAGCTGGATGACAACGCTGGATTCCCAAGTTACATGTGCAACCAAGCAGAAAATACCAGTGTCAGCGCACTGTTGGCCCCCATCTTCTCCTACCACTTTTCAGTATGTGTCTCCTATTTCTTATTTCAGGAAAAATGACTCTTTTGCAAAACACATGCATGTTTTATATACTGAAGGAATACACAGAATGCTTTGAAGGTGACATGCAGATTGTTATGTTCTCAAAAGCGAAACCTAAGGGTATAGGAAACAGAGAGAAAAAAATGCCTACTAGAACCAACCCAAAAAACTTTCAGCACTAATCAGGTGAGTCTCTGTCTGATTTTTCACCTGAATTCGTGTCAATGCCATGAACTCCACCCACATGATGCTGTGAGTAATTCCTGAGTGCCTCTTAGGCAGAACCATGACTGCTAAGCATTGTGGGGGAGAAAAGGTGATAAGCAGCTCAGGGTTCAGTGAGTCCTCACTTAACATCACTGTCAACAGGTTCTTGGAACTGCAGCAAAACAACATAACAAAATGCGCTGTACCACAGGGTAACTGATAAACAAGAGTTAGGTTCCAACAACATCTCAACATCGTAACAAAACGACACTGAATGAAACATTATTCGAGGACCTGGTACTCGAGGAATATTTATTCTAGATAGGAGAAATAACATACATATGATATGCTTAGTAATTTTAAAGAAGAAAGGTCAGTCCAGATGGAACCACCACTGTCCTCAAAGAGACAAAATGTGAAGGGCTGGACAGGACAGAAAACAAAGATGGCTACTCTACATGAGGCACCAGTATGACAAAAAAAAGAGAAGGAAAAAAAGCCTATGGTGTGCTCCGCAAACATGAGGGCCCGCTAAATGGATCATTTATGTGAGCGAGAGGACCACGGAAGCAGAACTGAGGGCAAAATCTTAAAGGGCCTTAAAAGCCAGTTTCAATGAGTTTATTTCCATATAAGCAGTAACAATAAATCAAAATGGAGACCAGAGCATCAGGCTGGAGACTGAAGGACTCGAGTTCCCTTTCTTGCTTTCTTAGTTTTATAAAAAAATATATACATATACATATATATATGTATATATAAAAAATACTATAACACATGTATACATTTACATACATACATACATGCACACACACACTCTTTGAAGTTCTAGTGATTTTTAAGTCATTTTGTCCAATGAAAGTTATCTCAATAAAACTTTGAAAAGAAATAGTGAAGTGAAAAACTGTGACTTTCTTTATCCTTTTGGGTAATCTAAAGCCCCAGGTTGGTGAGGCAGAGGAATAACATTGCTACCTAAAAAAATATCATGTTAAGATATTATCTGAAGTAACAGCTGGCAAACAGAGGTATGATGGGATTCCCTCAAAAGTTACAGCGCACTTCTAATGCTGGTCACAACTAGTGATGGAAAAATCACTTAGGGCCCACTGATTTCCCAGGGAGCAGACAGACATCATACAGTCCTGCTTTTTCCTAGGGTCTGGGCCCCAGTGAAGATCAGCCCTTATAAGGCTGAGCTGTATAGAGGACATAAAACCAAATCTAGTAAACAGAACAGTGAGGCTGTATAGAAAGAAAGCCCTGGTCAATCCCTGATAGGAGTAATAACCCACAGAAACCAAGGGGTAGGCTTCTTGATAAGTGAACAGTCCATTAAAAAGACTGCAGGGCCAGCCAAGTGCCTCAGTTGGTTAAGAGCAGGCTTAAGAGCACGGGCTCTGAGCAACAGGGCCGCCGGTTCGATTCCCACATGGGCCAGTGACGCTGCACCCAAGATGAGCTGTCGCTGAGCTGCCAACAGGTGACAGGATGGCTCAGCTGGTGTAACAACAAGATTGCCTGCTCAGTGTTGGGCTACGCCCACCCACAACTAAGACTGAACTTGGCACCTTGAGCTGAGCTGCCACCAGGATGGCTCAGTGGATGGAGCGTGCATTCTTAACAACAAGGCTGCCGGGTTTGACTCCCACATGGGATGGTGGCTATGCCCACCCGCAGCTAAGATTATAACACTACACCTTGAGCTTAGAGGCCACGAGCTGCCGACGGGCAGCCAGATGGCGACTGGTGCCCTCCACAACAAAGACTGAAGAACAATAATTTGGGTGGTCCCCTTCCCCAATTCCTCAACACTGTTCCCCTCCCCCAATTCCCCAGTAAAATCTTAAAAAAAAAAGACCGCATAGAGGGAAGTGACTACTGATGGACACAGGATTTCTAATAGGGAAGACAAAAATGCTCTAAAATCAGATTGTGATCGTGGTTGTACAATGCTGTGAATATCCTAAAAAACACTGAATTACAAACTTTACATGTGCAAACTGTATGGTATATGAATTATAGCTCGCTAAAGCTATTGAAAGAGATCATATACATGATTAATATAGCAAAGTAAGTTTAAAACTTCATTGACAATTGTAAACATTTCTGCTCAATCCCAAGAGAGCAAAAGGGACTAGAAAGTACATCTGTCAGGCATTCTAACTATACTAATTCTATGAAGAAAATATAATTTAGATAGCTGTCATCTAACAAGAGCCAGAAGAGCATTCAAATTAATATAGAATGGTATGAATTTATTCGCAAAATATAAAATTTAAATTATTTTATAGGTATATATTTTATTGCAATTAATAATTTCATATGCATTAGATGCTATTTTTGTATGTATATTTGTAAAATACAAATCTCTTATAAAGATATTATTTTGTATTATGTATTACTTCATAATAAAACACTAAGTAGAAATAAAAATATGTCCAGCTATGCCATCATTAGCTCAAACACGCTTAACAAGGAAGAGAACTTACAAGGAATTGTGCCTGTTACCAACTAAGAAATATGAAGTCTTATAGGACTGAAGACATTGTTTACTGTATTGCTGCAAGATACCTTCCAGATGAACTGCTTTTAAAACGACCTACAAGTCCTCTCTCCCTCGTGCGACCATTTGTCTCCTTCTGTTCACTGCAAGTTTAATGAGCCAGCGCCATTATCCTGCTCCCTAACACAGGATTTACCAACATCGTCCAATACGATTTAGGGAACAGTTGCTCTGGTGCTCAGAGCTAAACTCTGAGGCGGAAAGGAAATGAACTCTGAAGAACGACGCCCAGCCCTGAGAAGAAAATTCAGTCTCAGTACCAGCCAACATGCATCCTCTGAGCCTGGAGTCATAAATGCGACATGTGGGTTTGCAGCCTGCACAGCAAGAGCATCAAAACATGCATACCTGGCCTGGGTCGTTGTACCAAAGTTCGTCATGGAGTCGGTCAGGATGGGCCTTTTTGCGTTTGATTTCTGCAATGACGTCAAAAACTTCCGAGTCTGAGCTGCTAGAACAGGTGCTGTCCTCATCGGACTCACATTCAGATTCGCTGGAACTTTCTAATAGAGCAGAGAGAAAAAATAGAGAGAGGAGTTGAAGAAGTTCACGAGGTGGTTATACGTGGAGACGTGCAAATGACCCAAACCTCTAAATATAAGGACAGCTATGTATTCTTTCAGCAGATATTTCAGTGCCTACTCTGCACCAAGCACTCCGCCAAGCAATACCATGCAAAACAATACAGCCCATAATGCTAAGTCACGATCTAGCTGGGGAAGCAAACAAAGATTCTTACAGAGAAAGACTTAAATGAACAACGCCAGAGAAAGTACAAACCACTGTGGCAATATGGGGTTTTCCATTTTAAAAGGTGCAGCAATTCAGAAAAGAGCGTGTCCCCCTGATCTGGAAAGGTCACTGACGGTTTCCTGGCAGGGATGCACAGGACCCAGGCAGGAGGGATGGGGTGGAGTTGGGCTGAGGAGGAGGTGAGCGGAAAGCAACACAGACAGCACTGCAGGCCAAAGCATGCAGGCAAGGGCAGGGGTGGACTCCGGCTGGGGCAAAGGCCCCACATAAAAATACTGGGAGACGAGGGGTGCAAGTGTCGTGACTGCCAGGCTGACGGCTCTGAATGCCACACTGAAGAGTTTAATTTTTTTCTCTCAATAGTAGCAATAAAGGATTTTAGTCCTTGGAAGTGACTGGATAAAAAGAGACTAAGGATTATGCTAAGTGACATGAGCCAGTCACAAAAAGACAAATACTGTGTGATTCTATTTACATGACGTACCTCGAGTAGTCAGGTTCATAGAGATAGGAAGTAGACTGGTGGAGGGCAGGGATGGGGGGGTTGTTGTTTGATAGGTATAGTTTCAGATTAGCAGGAGAAAGAGTTCTGGAGATTATACAAACAATGTGAATGTACTCAACACTGCTGAACTGCACACTTAAAAATGGTTAAAAGATACATTTTGTGTTATATGTAATTACCACAATTGAAAAAAAAAAAACAGAACGCCTAGAATTTACATTAACCCTACAAGAAGTTAACATAGTACAACACAGTGCTAAAATCCAACCTTTACACAGCTGTGCTTTTGAATGTACTGCAGGAGAAAGATGCTATGGTCATCTCTCTTTTACAGATGAGAAAAGTGAGGCACAGGGAGGGTAAAACCCTTGCCCAAGGTCACATGTCAAGCAGTGGAGCAGGGACTGGAACTCAGCCCAGCTGGTCAGTCAGTACTGTTACCCACCAAGGATACTGCCTCTCAGCATGGAGACACAACAAGGGTGGGCAGAGGCAAGCCAGAAAACATGCGGGAAAAGGCATACAGCATGTCTCATCCATGTACAGCATCCTCTTAGGGGCTAAGGACACAAAGTAGCAAAAAAGCAGTTTCTATCCTCAAAGATCTCAGCAGCTACTTGGAACCTCAGACATGAAAAAATAGACCACCATGGGAGAAAGTTAGGGAAACTGTCTATGTGAGTAAAGAGAAAGCTTCAAATAGAGCTGGGCTATGGCCGGTGTTTCCTCATCAAACCAGGATCCCCCTGGCAGTGGAGGGGCCACAAGGCGATCAGGCTCCTGCTCATGGGGGAGGTTGGACGAGGGTCCCTTCTGATTCCGAGGCTACACAATTCCACAAGGGACACGACTGGTAGCACGCCTTGCCAAGGAGATCTCCTATGTATTCTGCTGAATGTTAACTGAGGAAAACTAAGATGAAAAAGAAAAAGTTCCACTGCTATGTGTTTTTCTTGACTGTAATGAAGGAGAATAAAATGGAACAGAGGAAATTTCCATTTGGGGCTCTCAAGGACACATTCAAAAGTCCGGCATTAAGCAATAATAAAAGAACACAGGGTCTTGATGTAGTTAACTTCTGACTCACCTAAATCTTCATCCAGCTTTGTCTTGGGAGGCTCCCACGGAGGTCTAGCAGCTTTGGCCTTTTCTTGCCGGCTCCCCAACTCTTCCTCAAATTTGTCGTATAAGTCACGGAGCCGACTTGTTCCAACTACAGTAGAATCTCCCTTTGAAAAATAAAGGATCAGAATTAGAAACTATATTAAAAGTAGTCATACCAAAGAGACAGAAGACCTCACAAGTAATCAAAGATTTGTAACAGTAAGGTGATGCCCTGTGCTGGCAGTGACTTTCAGAATCACACACCGTTGGCTGACATGGTCCTTGGGAAGGGGCACTTCACCAACATTCAAAAACAATAGAAATGTTTCTCTCTGCCCTTTTGATAGGAGAAAAAAATCATGACCCACTGAGAAGTCAAAGTGCCTGACACCCTTCTAGAAAGCATACACTCCCCCTACTAAAAAAATCATTGATAGTCTATCTTCCACATTAATCCAGTGATCAAAAAAAATATCCTATACATCCCCCATACACATACACCCCATAAACACAGGGATTCTCTCTCTCTCTCTCTCTCTCTCCCCCCCCCCCACAAACACAGGGTTTGGAAATACATTCCTAGAGGAAGCTCTCCACTTTTCCCCACTGTCTTCCCAGGTTAAAAATCGTCTTAAATGTCCGTAATCTTTAACTTAGTAATTTTTAAAATGTAAGGACCAGACCTTTCCGATGTGAAAAAATAATTAAAGCAAATCATAAAATCTGCAGTTACCCCAAAAGGGGGGCATCTACTTTCCCTCCGCCCCACCTCATTACTGACACTGGTGATGCTGGGGTCGCACTGACATTCTTACCACCTTCCTGCACCAGATGACAAAACACAAAGGCAAATGTTGGGCTTCTGGTTTTTCAGCCCTCCTTCTACCCATAAAAATGTCAGGAAAAAAAGATCTGCTGTTTAAACGCTCTGAACCTCAGTATCTTCAATTCTGCTGCTTTGTTTTAAGCGTAATAAAACCTATAGCAGCCATTCTCCCCTTCTGCCTTGCTAACAGAACCATGATTCTCTTCAGATTTGGGGCAGAGAACCTCTGATGTCACAGAAGGCGGGCTGAGCCCCAGTTCCCCCACCCCTCACCCCTACCCCTGACCCCTAAAGACATCCCCGTCTTAATCCCTGGAAATTGAATGTTTCCTTACATGGCAGAAAGTAGTTTGCAGATGTGTCTGAGGTTACAGAACCCGAGATGAGGAGATTATCCTGGATTATCTGAGGGGGCCCAAAATAATCAGAGCCTTTAAAAGCAGAGAACCTTTCCCAATGAGTCAGGGGTGCAATGTAAAAAGTGTCAAGAGGGCCGGCCAAGTGGCACGTTGGTTAAGAGCTGGCTTGGAACACCAGAGGGCCCCGGTTCGGATCCCACATATGAGGGCCAGTGACACTGCCCTCTACAGCTAAGATGCTGAACAACAGCTCAACCTGGAGCTGGGCTGCCCTGAGTTGCTGGTGATGGCGTAGGCTGCAGCCCCTGTGGCAGTGGGTTGCCATGGGCTACCGTGTGTAGCCAGCAGCCGCCTTGAGCGGCTGTCCAGAAGCCGGCGACTGATGTGCCTCGCCCGGGAAGAAAGCAATGATGGTGCCAACTTGGGCCAGTGAAGCAACGTCCTCCACAGCTAGACTGAAGAACAAAACGACAGCGACTTGTCTGTTCCCCTCCCCCAATTCCCCAACACTGTTCCCATTCCCCCAATTCCCCCAATAAAAATCTTAAAAAAAAAAAAGAGAGTCAAGGGATGGTTTGAGGATTAAACACGTAACATGAGAAGCATGGGGGAAAAAAAAAAAAAGAAGCATGGAGTGAAGTTCTGTTGCCATCAGAGTGCTCGGTATGCGAGCCTTCCCTTCCCTGTGTCACATGAACTATGACGTAAAACCCTGCCCTCTTTTTTCAAGTAAAATATCACGTCCCTATGTGAGATTTCTTCCAAAGACAGGTGAATCCCCATAAATAAGGGTCCAGTCCAAGTAAAAGCTATTTTCACAAAATTCCAAACAGTATGCTCTTATCTGACCCCATGCACTAAACCTAACATCTCCAATCTCGTGTGTCCTATATCTGTAGCTATTTGTTCCTTTTTTCTTTCATTTAATCAATGAACATTACTGTGTGTCTATCCTGTGGCAAATATGCCTAAATTAATGGGATGGAGGCACAGCGACTGTTGGGAGAAAAAGACAGAAAAACAAGTGAGTGACAGAAAGTAAAATGGAGATGGAAGAAAGAAAAAGAAGTTTAGAAACGAGACCATGGAGGTCGTGGAGTCCATCACAGCAATGAGAATACAGCGTACCGAGCCCCAGGAGCCCTGTCTCAAGCAGCACGGGTACCGGGTCTCTCAAAGCCCCACTAGGGTGACCACACCTGCCACTCCACAAACCAGCCATATGCACAAAAAACTTCCTACAGTTATCCTGCAGGAGACAAACTCAAATTCTTGCTTGTTTCCCATTTTGGGACACGGACAGACAGACAGACAGACAGACAGACACACACACACACACACACACACACACACACACACACACACACCACCAACTGCATAAAGTACCATATTTCCCCATGTATAAGATGCACCCATTTTCGAAAAATCTGGGGCCTAAAAACGGTGCGTCTTATACAATGGTTGTATGAGCGCAAAAACAAGTGCGAAAAAAGCAGGAAATGCAAGTAAAAAAATCTACAACCACTGTATAAGACGCACCCAGTTTTTAGACCCCAAATTTTTCGGGAAAGGGTGCGTCTTATAACATGGGGAAATACGGTAGTTATAAGTGAGAGCTTACAAAACCACCAGTATCGAAACCAGCAGTGTCATAAAAAATGCAGAACGAAGAGACACTTTAATTAATCTACTGCGCTCTTGCCTACGTAGCACAGCTTTTGTCTATAGTAGTGGTTCTCAAATGGGGGTGAGGGAGAGTCCACCCAGGGGACATTGGGCAATGTCCACAGACAGCTTTGCTTATCAAAACTAGGGGGCACTTTGGGGCCGGCCGAGTGGCGCACTGGTTGGGAGCTGGCCTGGGACGCCAGAGGGCCCCGGTTCGGATCCCACATATGAGGGCCAGTGACACAATAAAAAAAATTAAAAACAAAAAAAACAAACAAAAAAACTGGGGAGCATTTTACTGGCATCTACTACAGAGCCCAGAGATGCTGTTCAATGGACTACAACAAGGCATAGGGCAGGTCCCACCACAAAGAACTCTCCAGCCCCAAATGCCACTAGTGGCGAACCCTGGTCTACGGCTTCTCCCCCACTTCAGACGTACCACCTGATCCATGGGGTCACTGGAGTAGTAGTTTTCTGAGTGGGTGCAGCGAATCCACACGGGCTTCAGAAGTTCTTCCTCCTCCTCCTCATTTTTGTCCGGGAGCGTCTCCTCTAGCTCTTTTTCCTTGATTGAGGTATAATTCTTCTCTTTGCCAGAGCTCTGGTTGTCACTCCATCTGTCTTTTTCTTCCTCCCAACGAGCTCTCTTCTTCTCCCTACTTGGGGAACGACTTCAAAAGGAGGCGAAGGAGGCTAATTATTAAAAATGCCTTTCTGTGGTAAAACTCTACCGCTTCACCTGTTCACCTAAAATAAAAGTGCGATGCCAAACCACCACATTGACTCTTGTTAAACCAGTGAATCCCAGGCACCAGTCTGGTGGCATCAGAATCACCTGAAGTTACTTGTTTAAAAATACAAATTCCCAGGCTCTGCCCCAGATCTACTTACTGATCCACAGTCTCCGGGGGTGGGGCCCAAGAATCTGTATTTTTAATAATCTCCCCAGGTAATTCTGGTGTGCATCCAGCAGGTTCGGGAGCAACTGGTAAACCATAACTCCTAGAAGAGAAAGATACTTGGGAAATACTTGGAAATCTCCATGTGCAGACAACTTCAGCAAAGAGAATACTAGCTTTGAGTCTTCCATATCCTACTTTGCCAAGAAAAAAAATTTAAAAAAAAAAAAAAAGGCTTCATAAACATGGTCTCAACTTGGCCATAAATTTAGCCTGAGGACCATGATCCAAGACTGAACTGTCATGTCATCCCTCCGCATAGCTCTGGAAGCTCAGCCGGGTATTACTGCTTCATGAACCAAGACTTGGCCTAATTCTGATCCGCACAAATACTAACAATATTAACTTCATTAAAAGAGGATAAAAACAACTCTATCTCTTTGAATTTCTGGGGTTTGAAATTTGCAAAGGCCCATCCTGTGGATGTGCATGTAGGGAAAAACCCATTGGACAGATTTTCATTTAAGGCCAAGAAATTTAGGCAAAACCATACAGACCTTGAGAATCCAGTCAAGGAGAGTAACTGCTTTATTAGTTATGCTGGCAGCCTCTGGGGCTCCGCTAACAGTTACTATTACCCAAGAAATTTACAGCTGGATCCACGTCTTCCCATCAATTCTATCACTAACTTCTAAATTTATGACAGGAAAAGTGTGAGTGTGTGGGTGTGTATACATCAGGGGAAAGGGTGGGTGACTAGAAACATTATATATATATATTACTTATTGAAACAACTTCTAAAAATTACAGCGTACATCATTAGCTTTGTTCCCAGAGCAACATGTAACTGCTCTACCAAAAACATTTCTCATAGCACTTAGCTTTCATATTCCTGTAAAGTAGGGGCTGCTGTTAATGGCTGTATCACTTGCACCAGTACAATACTTAGGACACACAGTAATGCAATGTTTTCGTTGGTTTGTTGATTCAGTTATACAATGTTAGGGTGAGTGATAGGCAATGGGGCCTTCTTGTCTTTTTTCTAACTTGTATGGGAAGGCCTGTGAAGTTTCAACAGTAAATCTGGTTCATTTGAGATGGTGTCAATCATGTTCATGATGAGATAACGTCCTCCATCATGATAAAGAAGTGTGCTTACATTCCCAGTTTACCAAAGTTTCTACTCAGAAATGAATTCTGGTTTTATTTGAAATATCTACTAGGCAGGTACTCAGAAAACCCTACCGATTTTGACACAAATGATTAGTTGCATATTTCCTAATACTAACTAACCTATCTACCCATGCAATCCCAGAATAAACTCTCGCTTTTTTTAACACACTACCAAAAACAACTTGTTAGTATACTAATCAGTATTTTCATATCCGTATTCATAAGAGAGGCTGTTTCTTAGTTTTCTTTTCACTGGTTAGGTTTTGCCATCTGGGTTTTCCTGATAACACAGCATGGGCTGAACTTCCCTTTCATCTTCTTCCGGGTTCTACAACAGTTTAAAACTTTTTTAGAGGTGGTACAAATTCAACTTTTTCCATTTTTCCCCCACAGTTATTGGCCTATTCAAATTTTCTGCATCTTGTGTGAAGTTTTGAATTTTTGGTTTCATCAAAACCAACCCATCACATCCAAGTACTAAAATTTTTTAAATAAAATATCTGTACTTAATACCAATGTATTGTAAGTTTTAAATATCCTTCATTCCTATAATGACACATTCTTTCTCATACCTAATGGAATGTATGTTTTTCTCTCGATTCGTCACTTTTTAAATTGTATGACCTTTCAAAGAAATCTTACATTTACAAATAGTATTGTTATAATGCTATCGTGTTTTCTATTTCATTAACTTCTTTTATCTTTGAATCCCTTTTCCTGCTTTTATTATAGTCTACCAATTTCTAGAACCAAATAATCAGATAATAATTATATACATATAGTTACCATTTATTTGCCACTAACTTTGGACCCAGTTCTAAGTATTTTACATGTATTATCTCAATAAACCCTCACCACACATGGCAAGTATAGCTGTCCTTATTTTAGACAAAGACATTAAAGCTTAAAAGGCTTAGATAACTGCCCAAAAACAAAGTTGGGAGAAGTGATAATTGACCCCAAATCTGTCAGACTCCAGAGTGCTAATCTTAATTACCATTATATAAGACCATGAATTTTACTTCTTGATATATAACTGGTTACATCCTGTAATTCTGGTTTACAGCAATCTCAATGTCATTTTTCCAAATGAAGTATAACTATAATTTTGCTTTTTTTCTAAAACAAATACATTTAAGAACATAATTATGAATCTGCAAGATTTTGTTTAAAACCTTGAATTATTAATGTATACTTTTATAGCAATTGAGGTCAGAAAAAGTGGCCTATATAATTTCTAATTTTTGGAAATTTATCATGATTTTCCTTGTGCCCAATCAATACATCTTGAAAGTAAAGATTAAGTTACTGGCTGCCTTAGCTTTTCACAGGGCATTTCGGAAGACTTTTAGGCTGTTTTGAAGACTTGGCTGATGCTTTGTTTGCAGAAGCACAAAATCTGAATTCGAGGAGACAATCATGGCTTTTTTCAATGTGAACTCCTTGCTTACCTTCCAGATCTCTTATACTCTTTTTTGTAGGGCCTTTCCAGAGATGGTGATCGTCGGCTCTCCCGGTGCCTGTGTCTCTCCCGTTCCCGCTCTCTTAAAGGAATTAACACACACAGCTGTTTTCAACAGACAGATTCAAAAACACCATCTCTTTTCCCGGAATTCATCTTCTAAATAAATGGACCTCACCTAAGCAACAAAGGGAATTTTATCATAATCTTCTCAAGAGACCTTCCAATCAGCCAATCCTTGGTTAGTTAATTTACACGGAAAAATTTAAACGGTTCTAGTGCCTACTGATTTCTAGAATCTCCCAAATTCATCCATCAAGTTAACGCAAATTAAAGCTTTTATAGTCACAATTAGCACAAGGTTCTATAATGAAAGCGTTGTAAACTTACACAGGCTGTAGGTCTGAGTTATAGTTCGAGCTATCACTGACTGCCATGAGACTGTAAGTCACTTTACCTTTAAATGTTATTTTTATCTGCAAAAAACTCTAAATGGAGACTCTGAGTTTACTCAATATAAAAATAGAATGAAGGATTTTAAAACCTCCCAATGTAAAACCAGGAATACTTAGTAATAATAATAATTTAATGAGTACAATGACGATCTGGAACAAAAATCTGAACTCCAGTGTGTTTGAATCACAACTAAATCTAAGGGAAATAACCACCCAATCTTAGAATAAAAAAAAAAAATGCTGTATTAGCCTGAGTCCAGCAAGAAGACTACAAAAATGTATGAACTCAAAAATATCCCACAATCCGTAGCCAAATAAATGTAAATACACTGAAATCAAAACTTAAAGAACTGATAGAGATCCGTGACTGCTGAGATGTCAAAACAAGAATTGTTTGTTTTTTTTCAATTAAAGATCAACCCTTCCTCAAGGATGACTCCTCTGAATAATATATTTCTGACACATATGTCAGCCTCAGGCATACACCAGCTGCCCAAAATAAAGTAGCCAGAGTATGGGATTCTACATCCTTTATCTGATACACTTCTAAAATTGCAGTTTACTTTTAGGCAGTAAATCCCAACCAGTGAGCAGTCCACACGACAAAGATATAACGTAACCTGTATTATATCATGGCTGCTGAAAAAAATTATCACCTGTATTGTCAAATAAAAACTCTACTTAGGAGGGTATGCCTAACTTTTGTTCGGTTTTAAAGATCTAGGCAATAGAATTTTGCACTCAAGAATAGTACTGCTGATGATGACTGCTACCTCTAAGTGGGTATGAACTGAAAAGACCAATTTGGATATAAATCGCATTGGTAACACTAAATGATGAACCCATTTAAAGCAAGAAAAACAATGTTTGGGTTACTTTTCCAAAGACTCGTCCTTGTTTGTAAGCACTACGATATTCCTCAGGTACAGAATACTAGCTCTCCGATGTCTACACATTGTCCTCAACAGGACAGCTATAGCAGTTATTGTGCTATAGCACCACTCAGTGCTGGGAGCCCTCTGCCTTACCACGCCGCCAACAGCATGCTCGGTGTACTGCATCTGTGGCTGATTCTTTTCCCAATCCCCACAGTAACCTTCATCTTTCATGATAAGAAACATATATATTCACTTCTTCACAAAGTTTCTGTAGAAAATGTTTGCCCTAAAACAATCCTGTAATTATTACTGAACCACATTTCTAAGGAGGAGAAAAAGAAGAAAAATGGAATTTGAAAAAAGGATAGGTTCACTTACCCTAAGAAGCAAGGGGCAAGGTAGCTTAAGGACACTACAGAATTTGCATAAACTTATCACAATCTAATCCATAAATCTGTGACGTTTTGGTTTTCTCCTCTATACTTCTAGAAGTTCTACCAGGACTTCACATGCCCCGTGTTTATTTCACAGAAGCATTCCATATAAGACAGATGACTGACACCCTACCTAAGACCCCAAAGGGAGCCGATTATAAAGCGGCTGTGACACTAGGGCAGCTCCGGGGCAAACACCCCAAGTACAACATCATAAAACAACTCCAATATAAATAGAGGCCATTTAAAAAGATGAGCAAACTGCCTATGTAGGTCCCTCACAGTAAAGGTGTTGTGGTTTAGGATAATGGAGATTAACAGTAATTCTTTTGGCACTTGATTCCACTTACTGATAGACATCCTCCGTTTATAAGACATCTGAATTTCTTCATACAAACATGTAACTTCAAGTTTAAGCCTGGATGGAAAAATTTAGGATTTTACAGGCGAACCCTAAAACCTCAGCTCTAACTTGAATACCACAAAACAGAAAAACAAATGCTATCCAAAATCCTGAAGTTTGCAGCAAGATGTCCCCCCAGATAGGATTATCAACAATCACTTTCAAGTCGGAGGCCAACTACTAACAAATTCTTTCCAGCTTAGATTTTCATCATTAAATTGTAAAACTATCATAGGCCTCTGCCAACCAGTCCATCACGGAATAATGAACAAAACTGACCTGAAACAGTACTTCATGCTGCAAAGATTTAAAAAGACTACCGACTCTGGGTCAGCTTTGGCTCACCAGAAATCAGTCGTCTCTGCAAGAAACACACTCCCTTCTACCTTCCATTGGCGTAGGAAGAGGCAGACAACAATGCCTTTCCAGCACTTGTCATTCTCTTCAGGGCTGAGAATGACCACCATCATTTCACTGGCAAAATGTTCAGTCAGAATCAAACCGACAGCCATGAGAAAAACATGGAAACTGAGCAGTGCACTATCGCACAGGAGCCAAGACCAGCTCTCTACAAACCCACCTAATGACCTGGTTTGGGGAGCTCAAACATTTCCATCACAGAAGTTCCACAAGACAATGAAGGTAAACACACCACAGGAGACAGAAAGAAAAGAAAAGCTCTGTTACTAGCCTGACAAGTGGGAAACCTCAAGTCTTCATCAATATAAAGAGTTCACTGAAGGTACAAACAAATATTAGTGTAATCGTCACCCGTGTATTTTTATTTTTCCATCTAACCCAATGGGTCTTAAAACTTTTGGGTATATACTCACACTACCTCTTGAGAATTTGCTTATAAAAAAATTTATAAGATTTACCTATAAAAAAAATACATACACATAAAATTTTGCATGTTAACTTAGGAGCATTTCTAGAAACCCATCTATGAATCCCAGAGTTTAAGAACACATGCTGAAAACCTTATTCTCTTATATATATACATGCTTGGCCTTTGGGGAAAAAAATGTAATGTGGAATGGGGCAGCATTTTTTAAACACAATTTTCTTCAGTATGAATTTGTTTCAGTGCAGTAAAGGCAGAGTAAGAGCAATTTTGAACACTATAACTTTGATAATGTATAACTAATATTATTTCATTTTACAAGGAAACAATGTACAACAAACTTCCACCGATCCGAAAAAAATCAGAAACCAAGTTCTGCTTGTTAACTAGTTTGGTTCTTAACTGGTAATATATGCAGACAGATCATCAATACCAAAAGAACTCAAGTGCTATAACCTGAAATGATGATCATACTGAACCTAATTAAACATAATGCAAAAAAATATGTAAGATCGTGTACTCGATCATCATTAAAATGTCAACTGTATTATGCAGGGTACTCAGCTTACATTGAAATGAATGCACAGTGACAATTTTGGAATGCTTTTTCTGACATCAATTTCTTGTCTGTTGTCTGTTCCTCTTTACAAGGGCCCAAAACATGCTTTCTTTCCTTTTATACACTGAAATAGACTGCTGGAACTCTTGGGTTTGGTTTGCTGATACACAGAAATGGCCTGTGTGTGGGCCTGTGCAGGTCACTAAAAACCACATGCGTTTTACCTGCTGCGCTCATAGCTCCGGTGGCGAGACGGCGTTCTCCCTCGGTCGTAATCGGATCTGTAGCGGTTGTCCTGTCTTCTCCTGTCAGGGCTGCGGCCACGCTCCCGCCTCTCCAGGGACCGATGCCTCTCCCCTCGCCCGTGACTGTGATCCCGGTGCCTGTGGTCGTCATAGTGCTTGAGCCTTTCGGGGGACCTTCTCTCACTGGGAGCCTTGGGGAGTGGGTATGGAGGGAGATGCCTAAAATGAGGACTACTGCTGTTGTTAGCACTGGGTGGGAAAGAGCTGGGGTTGTTCTGGAAGCTATTAAAATTGGGAGGCGGGAAATTGTGGTGTGAGTATCCCGGAGGGTACTGGTAATTGACCTGCTGTGGCATGACCGGAGGGGGAGGGGGGGGCATCATGAAGGGGAAAGTGCCTTGTCCGGGAGGTGCTCCAGGGACTGGGGGGTTATTCGGACAGGGCATCGGAGGTGGCATGGGAGGAAAACAGGGAGGTACTGGGAAAGGGGGCCTCATCTGGTGGTTGGGGAAGGGGGGCCGGATTGGGCAGGGCGGAAGAGGGCCTTGTGCTGACGGAGGCATGGGGGGAGGGAACGGTACAAAGTCTGGTCGTGGAGGCAGAAAATTGGGAGCTGGAGAGTTCGAGAATGTGGTGGAAGGAGCACTTGGAGGTTCATATTGATATTGCACGGGAGGCTGCTGAGGGTGAAGCAGCCTCAGGTTTTGGGGCCTGAAGGCTGGCGCTGAGGGTCTGGCTCCATGTCCTCCTCGCCCTCGGGGACACCCTCGCCCCGGGTGGAACGACATTCTATGACTTTGTTGGAGAAAAGAAAAAGAGAAAAGAAAAACTCACTATGTAAACAGGGTGTCACAAATGCCTAAATACCTTCAAGAGCAACGACAGACCCCCTCAGGCCACTGGAATATTCCACCCGCCTCATACTGAGTTCTCTGTAATATCTGCCGTTCCTCATGGCCAGGAGACACCTCTTCCCCTGCCTCAGCCACCCAACCCGCTGCCATGGCCACTCCCCAGGACCCTGTCACTCCCTAAAGCTGCTCCACCTCCAGGATGATCAATTCAACACCCCACTGTTCAACCAAATGCCATCATGGCCTTGCTCAAGGCCCCCCAAAATCTTGACCTCACCATGTCATCCCATCCGCACACCCCACGTTTTCTAATCTGTAGAAGCACATTCCTGTCTTCACTTTTCTCCCCACTCAGCAGAGACTCTGCAAATGCAACATAGCGTGTCCTAAAATGAATTCATGAGCTTCCCCTCCACGACACCACCACTCGCTCCCTTTTTAGCGTTCCCTGTTTAAGGCGATAGATACCCTTTAGATTCTAGGTACTTTCTCCGTAGCTTCTTTGCTGTAGACGTCTTTGCCACAAACATGTTCACTGCCTAACTAATTGGCCACAGGTAATTTTTCCATTAAAAAAAGATAAAATAATTGGTTGACAGTTTGGTTTTTCTGTTTGGCTGGTCATTTGGTGTCACTGAAAAATCAACCCCCTTGGGCAGACTTAATGTTTAAGCTAAGTTGTCAGTTTGGTTTAATTTCTCCGTTGATGAAGTTGTCGCGCTTACTCCTATTTTTATTCTATTAATCTTAGCTAGGCCTCATGTTTTATCCAGGACAAATTATGCTGAGATTAAGACTGTCTTTACCAATAATTTGTTTAACACAGGTTCACTGAGAAAATTATAATTTATAACAATATTTCACAAGCCAGTAGCATACAGCATAATGTCTCTTAATAAGACAATAAAGACAAACATACTCCAAACCAATGATAGATTAACCGTACTATTGTTCTAGGCAAAGGGCAGATGAAAGAAATAAAGTCCAAATTTTGTTGACGTGTATCTTTCCACAAGCTGGTTCTCTGTAGAGTCAGTCCTTCCAACTAAAGGCTGCATGTCAACTGCTGGCTGAGGCCCCTCGTTCCTGGAGCATGAAGCCAGCAGGTGACAGCACCGGTGTTGGCAGGAAAGGTGGGCTGCTCCAAAGGTTATTACTACTCCAGGGACCACTGCATGGCTTGTGCCACTGCCTCGGAGGGGTAGCCTCACCACGGCAGGGACAGATGTCCCATCTCTTCCTAAGAGTGCTGTGTAGTGAAACAGCACTGCTGGTCAATGGTAGTCAGCTCAGGCCCCTACCTAACCACAGAAGGAGCAAGTGTCTCAAGGTCTTCAAGAGGGGAGCTATTTAAACTTGTAGGTTGTACCTAAGCATTCGTCTTCATTCTATGGGAAACGTGGCGTCACCTCTGCGTGACTGTCACTCCTCTCTGTTCCTATCATTAAGTCCCCAGCAGTGCCCATCAATAGCTGAACTACTGGGTGCTTACCGACAGCAGATTTGGATGCCAACATCCTAGCACAGCTTCCTCTAGGTAAGCAAAAAAGTTGTTTTTAGATCAAAACAACTTCATGTAGGCCAGAAACAAGTGGATCCAAACAATTTCACTTTAGTCAGAAACAAGTGGCTCTGAAATCGTAACAAACCAATACACAACACCTCCTAATGGTGATGGTCTTATAATAGTTAGAACTTCTCCCAGATGACAATGATTTGCCCTAAAAGTTGGTGTCTTATTTTGAAACACACTCCATTGGCTAGAGGGCCCCCTTGGAGGGCACAGAGTTGAACCCACATTTCCCATAGAATGCAGACAAGAGCTTAGATACAATCTACAAAATACAATCAGTTATTTTCAGAGTATTACCATAAACCTACACACATTTTAAATATATTCAAATATTTTGTACTTCACAATAAAGTCTTTTTAATTATCATTCATTTTTTCATGTTTCATTATGTCCTTTTTAATGTCCTCCTTTTATTTGTTGTGCTTTTATCTTTGTTATGGTAAAACAACCTTACGGCCAGTAAGTTACGCAGCAAAAATGTTGGCAGCGAAAATGTTTGCGACAAAGATGCTTACGGCAAAAATACCATTTACATATTAGTCCTCAAGTCATACACCAGGGAATTATCTAACAACTTTTCCTTCATTATCTCCTTTAGCTAAGAATTTATTTTAAAATTCCTAGCATCTGAGCTTTGTAAATATTTCTTGAGACCATCCACTTCACAACATCGTGTGTGACTTGCCAACTACAATACATTTGCTGGAACTTCTACAACCACTATTACCACCTGTTAGGTTCCCTTCTCTCACATGCTCTGTGCTGCTTCTTGGCAGGCCTTACAATTCACGAACTGATTACATAATTCCATCTTTATTGTCTGCTGCAGCTCACAGCTGCAAGCTCCACCAGGGCAGGGCTCTGGGCTGCCCGGTTAACTGCTCTGGTGGGAGTTCCTAGCCATATACATGGCCCAAATGAACACTCTTCTCCCTCTGCTCACATAACTAAATCCTTCCCACACTCCAGGGCCCAGCGTCAGTGTTTGTTCCTCTCGCTGTTCTCCCACAACTACCGCTATCACTGTCACACCACTCACCATGTATTGCCTTGCATCATGACGTACTGTCTGGATCAATGTCACATCTTCCACAGGGAACATAAACTCTGGAGGACAGAAAAAATAAAATAGACATTAAAATGTTTCCTAAACTGATAATGCTAGAAAATATTTCTGCAACTATCTTAACACTAATTTTGCATTCTCCGATGCATTTAGCATACTACCAAAGTTAAGAGCGTGTGACCTGAATTAAAGTTTACAATTCACTTTTAAGATGTCCTTAATACATGTCTCGCTGACTCAAAACAATAAGTAGCTAAGAAGACTGAAAATGTGGACATATTCCATTTCTCATATGCTAAAACACTGGGAGAAATAATAATGTCTCCTCTCCCTCTCCATATTCTAACTTCCTTCACAGTAAGCTCAAACATAACTATAATCTTGTAACAATAGTTATCCTTGATTTTCACTCTCAGCTCTTCTCATAGGATAATGTTGTGAACCTGAATGACTTTCCAAATACTTAAACTTCAGCCAAATGTTTCAACTTCTCAAATAAATATTAAGTGCAAAAAGCTTTAAAGGAGAAGCGTCTTCCTAAAGTCTAAGAAGTTTTACAAATAAGCTTAAGGTAGATTTCCAAATGGCTCATGAAAATAGTTTGAGCACCATGCTTAATAAATAGTAGGCACCAAATAATACCTGAGTAATGATTATTATTCAGTCCAAGGCCCTAATGATAAACCTAAGGCCTAGACAGCTGACCGTGCCACCATGAGCTACTCACTACCAACAGAATAGAATTCAAACTCCATGCTTATTATTTAAGGCCCTCTACACTCTAAACCCAGGCTTATCTTCCATTAGCTCCTCATGAAGCACCCATCACCCCAGATTTTCCCAGTTGCCCAACATACCAAGTACTATCACCCAGTTTGTTCTTTGCTCCCACTCTTCTGAAATCTCCTACGCTATGAATTTGCCCACTGAACTCTACTCATCTACCTATGTCAAATGCCATGTCTTCTGTAAAGCCTCTCCTGGTTCCCTTAAGGAAATAATCCCATTCCCTCTGGACTTCCATTGCTCTGTGTCTGTACTTACTTCTTTTACAGCACTTACCAGAGACAGCCCATATGATAGTCATGTGTGCACATGTCTAACTCCTCCACTGGATTATTAGCTCCTTGATGGCATGGGCTGATTCATAGTCATTTCTGTATCCTTCACAGCCCCTGGCAGAGCATCCTGCGCAAAGTAGGTGGTCAATAAATGTTTACTGTTTCACCAACGGTAACATATTTCTATGTTACTGCTGTATATTTCACTTTCCCATATATCCACAACAGAGTTGCATTCGCAAAACAGGACAAAAAACAGGCCTTTCCACTGATTCACAGGGCACTATCGCAGGCCCTGTGGACTCAAAAGATGTGTAAGGCAGAGCCTATAGGTCTCAAGGAGCTCAGAACCCACATACAAATCCGGTTTTTAAAAAACTATATAATGCAATAAACACAAGATAAGCGGTATACAGATGGTCTAGGGGAAAACAAAGGAATGTTCTGGACCTAGACGTGGGCAGCCATCAGGATCATTAACACTCATACAGTGTGTAACAGTTGAATATTCATTACTAGGTCCTCATGGATGTTTCTATAGATACACTATCTAAAAACTCTGGCTATGTAACTGACCTATTAAAGGCACAGTGTTGTGGATGCAAACTTTAATTCAAAAGTCAAGGAATTCACTGCAACTGATAAAGTAATTGTTTTCTCCGTCTGCCTGCTCCTAAAGTCGCTGTCTGACAGCAGGGAAACTGAGGGAGCTGTTTTGAATAGTTAACACGTCCAGGACCATCAGTCAATGTCGAAAGAGTTGCAAAATGTCAATGCATTTTTATTAAGAACATCCCCCAGTTGAATCCGCAGGCCGGTCACCTTCCTCCGGCTGAACGGCGAGTTTCTGTTTGCATCTCCCGCCAGACTGTGAACCCCAACCAGGCTCACTGTCTACCTCTCCTCCCAGACGCGGGCCTGAGCCAGCGCCATGTGCTCCACAAATGAATTAAAAGTCTCGTTTTGTTTTTGTTTTTTTCACTTCTATTTATTTACGGGATCCGGGCCTAAAATCGCTTTTTTGCCCTTAGCTGCAGATCTCAAGGGGGGCGGTCCGACCCTAATTTCCAAGCACCTCTCGCCCCAGCCCCGGCCTCCAGCCCCGTTTAAATCCGGACAGTCGGAAACACTCCCTCTTCCACCCCGCAAGGTGGCCCTTTTACCTACCAAAAGCCTCCTGGGCCCCGAGGTCGCCGCCAGAGCAAAGCCAGTCTTATTGTGCAGCCGCCAAGACCTTAGCACCTCCCGCGCCTCCGGAACAGGAAACCGAGGTAATTAAAAGGCTAACCTGAGAAAGCTGGACCACGGCGAGGGAAAGCTCTTGGGCGCTCCGCTGTGCCTTCTGCACCGTGATTGGTGCGTCAACAAAAGCGATGGACATCTAAGCCAATCGGCCTCACTGGGCCCTCCGGAGCCCGCCTCCTGCCCTCTACATCCTCCAATCCGGAACCGCAACCGGGTGAGCGTGGTTCCCCTGGGGAGGGCGGCGGCGCCTCCTGTCGGCGTTGGCTGGTCCTTGTCCCCGCGTCCCCGTGCGCCTGGGACGCTTGCTGCTGGACGGGAAAACATGAGCGACCCCGCGGGAGAGCGCGCTAGCCTCCGGCGCTACGCGGAGCTCCCGGTGTGGGTGGTGGAGGATCATCAGGAGGTGAGCGGGCGGCTGCTGGGCGCTGGGGGGAATCGCGCGGGGGCCGAGGAGGGGGTGGCTGAGGCTCGGCCTCCGAGACCAGAGTGGGAACAGGAATTTGTTATCCGCTCCAGTTGCATTGCAGTGGGGGGAAACACCAAAACTGCCGTGGAAGCTAACTTGGAAAAATAGGCGCTGACGCTTATGGGGCGCTTACTATGTGTCGGGCACCTCCATTGGACTCTTGCCTTGCACCTTTGCGCAGGCGTTCAGCTGTCTCCCGGCCTCTCCATCACAGTCCTGTGTAGGTGTAAGGCTTCTAATTAATTGTACGGGTTGTCATCTGTGAAATGAGGACAATCATCGTAGCACTCTTAGGGCCGTTAATATTATGGGGTGCGTATTGGGTGCATAATAGTTTTAACACGATGCCCCACGTTTATAAACACGAAAGACATTTTCTATTTTTATGGCAGTACTACCGTAGAGTAGCTAAAAGTGGTGCCTTAGGGCCGGCCGAGTGGCTCATTTGGTTAAGAGCGCGAGCTCTGAGCAACGGGGTCGCCGGTTTGATTCCCAGCCTGAGCTGAGCTGCCAACAGGTGGCAGGATGGCTCAGCTAAAAAAAAAAAAGAAAGAAAGAAAGTTAACTTTAAAAGTGGTGCGTTAATGTAGATTTCTGGAAACCTACAAGGGAGGCCCATGGATCTAAGAGTTTAGTTTAGTTTATTTTTAAGGTAGCACTAACAGGCCTTGGGAGTTCTCTGGGAAAGAGGAGAGAGGTGATTTCGGATTTACGGATGGAGAAAGGAGGGGAAGGAAGCTGGGTGTCTCAGGACCTGGAAATAACATGTATGGGCCTGAGAGAGCAAGCGTGGGGTAGGCGGAGCTTTCAAATTCAGTCTTAAACCTGGAACTGTAGAGACTGTAACGGGACAAAGAGCTTTACCGCGCCTTCTTGAAGCATGGGAAAGGCCCGGAGACCCAGGGTAGCTTGAACACGTTGCTAATGCCAGAAGGTGTATTATTAACAAGCAGGTTATTTCTGAGCTCCATTCCTATGTTTCCTAACATCTGTTGAGTTTGAGTGGGGGCTAGATGGCAGCAAGAGATACCCATTAAAGCCTTTGGAGGTCCAAGTTAGAACTTTTGAGGAAAAAATAAAGTTTGAGGTCGTTATCTAAATCATCTACAATGCACACTTTTTCCTACATGTATTTTCGTACTTTTCAACAACTTGGTGTGCCTTAGGTTACGTTTAGCGCTGGTTTGCAGTCTGCAGTTGAGCGCTCATAATTTCAGTGCCAATGTGAACGTGTGTATGTGTCTTTTACAGGTTCTGCCTTTTATATACCGAGCCATTGGCTCAAAGCATCTTCCTGCCAGCAATATAAGTTTTGTGCATTTTGACTCACACCCAGACCTCCTTATTCCTGTGAATATGCCAGCTGACACTGTGTTTGATAAGGAAACGCTTTTTGGGTAATATATGATTTTGTTAATGATCTTTTATGTGCTTGAAATACAATTTGCAGATGATAAGCAATTAAGGGAAATAGATCCTGCTAAGCTCATGAGTTTGTTTTTGTTTTGTTTGCCTTTTTTATTTTATTTAAAGCAAGCATGGACAAAGTTTTTACGAAAGAGCCAGGTAGTAGACATTTTAGGCTTGCTGGCCATATGGTCTCTGTTGCAACTACTTATCCCTGCCTTGGTCGTGTGAAAGCAACCGTAGACACTGTATAGACAAATGGCTGTGTTCCAATAAAACAGTTATTTACAAAAACTGGTAGCCCAGCCAGTGTGTGCCAACCTCTGCTTTAGAATATGGAATTTTAGAAATAGAAGAGACTTTAGAAGTTATTAATATCTGAGCCAGTTCTCCCTTCCTCTCCACTTGAAAAGCCTGGATAGTGAGGCATGAGAAAACTGTTTTAAACACATAGTTCAATCATTGTATAAACAACACATCTTTAATTTGTATATCTTTCCTTCCAGTATTGTTTTTCCAGCCTCCCAATTTGTTTCTTTTCAGGTCACAAATCCTACTGACTTTTTTCAGTTGTATAGAATCATAAAGATAGAAGTGAAGTTGGTAATTTTTACTTCAGTCTTCAGGAAGGATCATACTTAATATATCTCTAAATACTGACCTACTATCCTATCTTCTGTAAGAAAGTTCTCTGAAATTCTGTTGCTCTTTATGTGCATATTTGTTAGAATTTAGCCAATATTTGTACAATATAAAAAGTTACATAGCAGTAATTTTCCTGTTAATATAAAATTAGAAGATAGATGCTTGTGTGAATTAATTTCGCCTACTACATTTGTCTTTTTCCAGAATCCCAATTCTAAAGAAATGTGGTGTCTACCATTTTCCTTACTCTCTTTTATGTTTAGAGGTTTTATGTTTTAGAAATTGAACAGAATTATGAAGCAGGTATGTAGACTGTACAGTTAGTCATAGAATAGTTCTTAAACTTTTTAGTCTCAGGATTCCTGTATACCCTTAAAAATTCTTGAGCTTTTCCTTAGTATGAGTCACATCTATTGATAGTTACCATATTTGAAGTTAAAACTGAGAAAAATGTTTAAAATATTAATTCATTTCAAAATAACAGGCCTTTATGAAAATATATTTTCTAAAGCAAAAAGATGTAGAAGAGTAACAATGTTTAAATCTTTGCAGATCTCTTTAGTATTTGCCTTTATAGAAGACAGCTGGATTCTCATATCTGTTCCTGCATTCAGTTTGTTACCGTATGCTGTTTTGGTGGAAGTATATGAAAAAAGTTCAGGACGAGGATTTTCATAGCCTTTTCAGAGAGTTGTGAATATTCTTTAATACTATACCAACTCTTGACAAGCTGTGGTTTCTTAAAGCTTAGTTGGACTGTAGAAGCCAACAATTCAGATTCAAGTCTGAACAACCATGGTTTATCAGTCAGTCTTTCTTTCAAGAAAAATGGTGTTTAATTTGCAATTGAATCACTAGTACTTTTTCTTGAGACAGCTATTGTACTTCAAAGTAGGTAGTAGAAGTACTTTCTGTGTACTTCTCATTTTGCCGCATGGATATTTTTAAATGTATAATCAGGATCAAGGTCTAATCATGACGGACAGACATTCATACATGAAACTAACTTTGGTGGGGAGGGGGCCGAGTGTTAGTGCTTGGTAGTAAAGAATGCGATAACTACTACTGTAGAGTTTGGTGCTCTTGCTTTGAGTAATCTTAGTACATCAACCCGCTGTTGCTTTGCACCATCTGTGCAAATGTCAGTACAATGAAAAAGGGAAATAATGCCTTAGTGTTTTAGGAAAATTAGGTGGTTACAGGAAAGGTCTCAGCAGCGCCCCCAAGGGTCCCTTAGACCAAACTTTGAGAACTTCTTTCTTAAAATATTGTTGTAAATGAAATTACATTGGGGAAAAAAATCACTAACAGTTTTCTTTCTTCTTCTCTATTGTATTTCCAGAGAATTAAGTATTGAGAATTGGATTATGCCTGCAGTTTATGCTGGCCATTTTTCTCATGTAATATGGCTTCATCCCACATGGGCTCAGCAAATCAGAGAGGGCAAACATCACTTTTTAGTAGGCAAAGATGTTTCTACAACAACAATCAGGTAATTTCCTCATATTTATGAGTATGAAGGGTTTGATTGCTTCTATCTTATTTTGGTTTCCTGTAATAACTTAATGATTATCTCTACACAAAATAGGGTGAGATTAAGCCTCAGCTCTTCCAAAGAGAGTTCTCAAAACACCAGGAACAAGTTTTCAAATCTCTTGATTTTCCTCACATACTATGGCATTTATATTTTGTTGTTGGTCAAGTTTGTTTTTGAATAACATGATTTTCATCCTGTGGAATTTTGTCTCCAGTAATGACTAACTCCATTAAATTACTGAAGTACTTTTTAGACTTACATTTACTGATACATTTTACTATTTTCTTCCAATATAACGCTGAATGAAACAGCAGTGAAAACGCAAAATTATCTCACTTTGTTTTTTTGTTTGTATTTTTTTTATAAATCCAGTGGCTGAAAAGTAGATTTGGGGTTTTAATTTTATTAAAATGATTATCTTTAGATAATTAAATTAATCTAAATTAAATTATAGGATCCTCTGACTTACATGTACAACTATTTTTGTATAAACTATATAAACATTTATTTATCTTGTGACACTCTAATATCTTTAGAAGTATCAGAATGATCTTCACTTCCCAAATTCTCTTGTGATGGGTAAATGTTTTAAGCATTGGAACCATAACTTTCTATAACCTGAGGGCTCGTGGGATGAAATGGTAATACATTAAAAATGAAATACAATCTTTCTCATTGAAAATAGCGCTTTTTACTTCTGATTTAATGATAGTTAACTTTTGTTGTATGTTCTCAATTGCACAAATAACTGTTGTGTATACTTGAAAATTGTATTTATTGAGGATCTAATACTAAAGAAATAAGGCCTGTACGTAATACTGGTATATGTGAAAGAGTGGTAAGAGTGGTAACGTTTTACTGAATACTTCAGTGAATGGCCTAGTTTAACCTGTAAACAGGTTTCTACAAAATCAGATAATTTTGAGCAATCTGAAACAGACATTTGAAACTCAATGTGTAGTAATGATATTAGGACTATTTTGATTATCTCGTGATTTTCATCCAAGTAAAAATTCATGGGGGAGAGTCACATATGTATAGATACGCAATCTGAAAAGTATGTGTGTTTGTACTGATATAAACAAAGCTTTTTAAAGAAGAATACAGATTTAAGTTTGGGGATACAGCCTCTGTCTTTCTTAGGATGGTACAGTTTTTAATAAACCTGCACATATTTTATTGCATCATTAAACTTTTTTGTAAAATTATATCTTTTCAACTTGAATGCTGTATATGTTGGAGTAGGGTAGGTGGGAAATAAATATTAACTATTATTTTTTTTAATAGAGTCTGTCTCCGGAGGAAGCATTTGACTCCGCTGTTCATAGTACTTTCCAAGGCATAATACAGTTGAAAAGCTGAGGATATACCGATATGTCTAAACTCAGAAATCTGCAATTTAAGAAATGCATTCTGCATGTGTACAAGATTTGTTTTACATTGTTTTTCATATTAAAATATTATGATTAGATGAAGTTTAATGATGCTTTGAAATACATCAGAGGGATTTTCTATTAAGAGAAATTATTTCCAGATGTAATTTTTCTCTGAAGTGATTTTTTTGGAGAAAGTTTCCGCTGGTATGAGAGCGATCTAAAGCACTGGCTTAAACAGGATCATTTCTTTCTCATATTAAAGTTGACCGCTCACAGTCCAGGGCCTAGTGGCCATTCTGTAGTTGAGGTAACCCCAGTTCCTTCTGTCTTGCTACACCATATGTAGGACATTGCCTTTGTCCTCATAATCCAAGGTGGCTTGCCACTTCCATGTCATATGCCTGTCAGTGAGGAAGGGAGAGCAAAGTTCTGTATAGTTCTCTTCCATTGATAGCCTTTGGCCAGAACTTAATGAAATGGCCACACCTGGCTACAGTGCAGACTGTGATATAGTCTTTACTTTGGGAAGTTGTGTGCCCACCTAAAAATTTGGGGAATACTATTTCTATAGGAGAACGGACAATACAAATATTAGAGACAGCTGTCAGTTTTTGTCAAATATGTCTTATCATCCTGCAGTACTGTGGAAATGCTGTATGAAATGTCAGCTAATGTGTCATCTTTTAAAAAGTGTTTTCCTCTAATCCAGGGTTACAAGTACAGATCATTACTTCCTAAGTGATGGTCTTTATGTAACTGAAGACCAGCTAGAGAACCAAAAACCTTTACACTTGGATGTAATTATGGTAAAGCCATATAAACTCTGTAACAATCAAGAAGAAAATGATGCAGTGTCTTCTGCTAAGAAGCCAAAGCTAGCACCGGAAGATGCAGAAAACACTGCCTCTACTAACTGTGACTCTTGTTCAGAAGGACTGGAAAAGGACACAGTGGCACAGAGAAGGGGCCAGACTTGCGTTGGACCTTCATGTTCACATTCTCCTGAAAGCCAGGACCCGCAGGCTGCAGTCAGCACTGGAGAAATGCCGGAAACTCTGAAAAAAGGGGGTGCATTTGTGTTAGATATTGACCTAGATTTTTTTTCAGTCAAGAATCCCTTCAAAGAAATGTTCACACAGGTAAATGTGGTGCTTTCAAAACAGATCGAGAATTGTATGACATTTCTCTATATCAGGGACCTGACTTTCTGCAAACAGCCAGATAGTCATTACTTTAGTTGGTATTGGGAGTTCCATATGGTCTCATATATTCATTATTGTTTTTGTTTTCTCGAACCCTTTAAAATCATATAACTTGAGGGCCATACAGAAACAGATTATAGGCCATGGGGTGCTGATCCCTGCTCTGGATAGTCTGTATTATTTTGCATTAATTTGGGTGATATGTACATGGGTGGTTGAAAAAAATTTTTTTTACCCTAGTATATGGATTTTTTTGGTTTATTTTTAGGAGGAGTACAAAATCTTACAGGAGCTGTACCAATTTAAAAAGCCTGGCATCGACCTGACAGAGGTATCCTCCATTTACTTTTTTGGGGTTTTATCTATCACATATCTAATAATAATTGACAGCTTATTACAGTCCTTCAAACAACTATCCAAAATCTTTTGTGTGTGTGTGTGTGTGTGTGTGTGTTTATTGGGGAAGCCCATGATTATTAGTACTTGAAAATCATGTTTTAACTAATTGAGCTGAGATTTTTATTATAATGGGATTTCACTTGTTTTTTTTGAAAGAATAACTATAATCTCAGCTTTTCTATGCATTTAAAGGAAGATTTGGTAGATTGTGTTGATACTCGAATTCACCAATTAGAAGATTTAGAAGCTGCTTTTGCTGATTTGTGTGATGGTGATGATGAAGAAACTGTACAGAAATGGGCTTCAAACCCTGGGTAAGACCCTCAAATATTTTTTTCTCCAACTTGACTATATTTCAGTCCTAGATATATTGCCAGATTCACTACAAAAATTACTTCTAGAAAACTAGTATTAAATTTCAACACAAACTAACAATAGTTAGCACTTATTGTTTTGTATGTTACCAATATTAAGATTTTTTCCTTGCATTACCTCATTTATTTCTTATAACCATCTTATGGCTTCATTATTAAGATGAGGAAACTAAGGCACAGAGGTTAAGTTACCCAGAATCACATAGTAAGGGGTATGCTTTTAGTCACTGTGGTAACTGTGCCCCTACTCTATAAGATGTGGTGCTGGGTTTTATAGAAGATTAAAGATGAGTAAGACAGTCCCTGTTCTAAATAGAATAAGGAAAAAAAAACTAACCTATCAATAGAAAAGTAAGTTATAGACAGGTAAATTATAATGTGAAAACTTGCCTCCTTTTTAAGGGCAGCCCAACTACCAGTGGAAGAGTTTCTTTTCAAGCTGCCCATGGCATCAGGGAGCAAGATTTGAAAGCCTGGTTTTTTATCAGGTCGCTTATTTGGCCAGCTCTCACAGTGTTAACCTACCTTGAAAAGATGAAAAGTGTTTTTGGTGTGATCATCTGTTGATTTGGGTGTTGGGGTAAAGAATGCCTTTAGTATTAATGCCAGTTTGAAAGAATATTGACATAAATAATATACTTCTCTAAAATAATTCTTTAAATTATGTAAACTCAAAGAGACAGGAAACTAAAAGGAAAGTATCAAACACAAATTTTTTGTCCCCATGAGTATAGATACCAGAACTAGCTTATTTTCAAATTGATCTCCCACAAACTAACTGAGATTATTCTCCACAGTGTAAATGTGAGAAATCAGTCATAAAATAGCAACATAAAATGGGTTAGAATTATGGTACTATGTGATTAGTATTGTTATGTCATGGTTATTGAGAATTATTCATCAGATCTCTAGAAGAAAACAGAAGAAACGAGAAAAGTGGTTACCTCTGGAGAGAGAAATTGTATGGCTAGACAATGAAGTATTTGAGGGAGAAAGATGTTCTTTTGCTACTTATATCACCTATTCAAAATATTCAGTGTAATTTTTACTTAAAAATAAAATATTCAGAAACATTCCTTAAATATAAATATCATAGAACTTTACTATCACTAAGGAAAGCATTGGTTGGAAAGAATAAACGATAATAGTATTAATCACATCAGTAAATATTAGCCAGGCACTTTAGTATCCATTAATGCTTTTTCTCTTCAGCATAGGGAGATAATTGTAAAAATGATTCCCTCTTTGGAATTATGATGGAAGAGGGAGATATAGAAATAAGTCACAGAACATGGTTCTTTCCAGAAATACTGAAGAGTACCTACTATTTTGCGATTTTTTTTTTGAAGCCTCAAGCTAAGTTGAAAACTTAAAACCTAAAAAATAGGCTGAAAACCTTAGAATCCTGAATCTAGCCCATAGGTGGGGCCACCTTCCACTGAGACCCACTGTGCCCACTGAGCACGCCCAGGGAGTGCTTCATCGCCTGCTGGGAGTTGTCACACACACGAGGAAACTGCAACAGGGGCGAGTTCAGACTGTCGTTGGAATAGGGGAGGGGAGACAAGCACAGAGGAGAAGTGGGGGGCAGCAAGAAATATCTCCCCAAACTTACCATCAGCATGGAGGAATCTCCAGTATTCCTCAGGAGGTAGAGGAAGTGGGTGACCAGGGGCCAGAACCCCAGCAAGTGTCGTTCATAATAAAAAGGGACAGACAGGCCTCCATGCCCCTGTTTTTCTCTTTTCCCTGCCAGCAGATGAGTTAATTAATCAGGGCTTCCAAGGAGTCCACCTGGATTAAATAAAAGCACCATCATTATTATATCAGATGAAGTAGAACATTTCAGGTTGTAATTGTATATGTCAATAAATACGACCTTAATGTTTTTTAAAAACCTTCAGGAAACTTATCTTCTTCCACCAGAGTGTGCTAAACACACTTTGTTTTCTTGCCGGTCAAAATAATTTTTAAAGTCACAGTAGAACTTCCATTTTTAAAGAAAAGGAAAATCTCAGTTTTTTGAGCGCTTTCAACCTTTAACAATCTGTAATCTTTTAGGTAAGAAACCAGCAGGAAACATTTATTTCTTAATATTTCAGATATTTGAACAGCTTTATCTTTCATTTCCCAAGACTCATATGAAATGTTGTTAATGGTAAATTTTAAAGATAATATATCATTGGCTACTATAATTTTGGTTGAGGTGGTGTGATGTTTAATTGAGCGGTGGCTTTTTTCCAGAATGGAATCACTAGTTCCACTTGTACAGAGTTTGAAAAAACGGATGGAAGTGCCAGACTATGAAATGGTAAATATTTTAAATTAAAGTATAAAATTCACCCTTTTCATAGACATTTTCCTGGGTAGAAAAATATAGATTCTGTTAAAGTGATTCACTTTTTTGTGTGTTTCTGGGGAGTGTAAAAGAATTATTTAAAAAAAAAAAAAATACATATTTGCGGCGGCCGGTTAGCTCAGTTGGTTAGAGCACAGTGCTCATAACACCAAGGTTGCTGGTTTGATCCCCACATGGGCCACTGAGCTGCACCCTCCACAACTAGATTGAAAAAACTACTTGACTTGGAGCTGATGGGTCCTGGAAAAACACCCTGTTCCCAATTAAAAAAAAAAACACGATACTTTTTAGAAGCTAGAACACGTTTTAGTTTTCTAGGAAAATTGTACTTTTCCAGTTTTTTCTATGGAGCAAAAGTGCTGTGTTTTTTGTTGTTTTTGTTTTTTGTTTTGTTTTTGCCTATGGTCAGATCTCTCGTTTCTCTCTTTGCCAGAGAAAAGAAAGTATACAATTTCTATAGTTGTTTGTTATTTATTGATTCATTTTTTTTTACTCCTTTCCTCCTCCTTTCTTTCCTCTCTGTAAACTTCTGATTATAAAAAACAAACAAAGACAAAAGAAGGCGCTCTTGCAAGTGCAATTTCATTCCATTGCATTTGAGGATGGTTTGTACATTATTTGTTGAGAAAAGGGATGGCATGGGATCAGTTTATATCATCAAATATGATGTGCTCATAGCTGCAGAGTTAGAACATAAGTGTTTTAATCATTTTAATAGAAAAGGACATGCAGAGTCTGTCATTTTACTACATTGATGAATCACTGCCAGTTAAATCTTTGATATTTATCCAGAATAATAACAGATTAGTGTTTTTTTCTTATGTACGCTATGCAAAACTGTGACATATTTGAGTTCCAGTTTTCAAAACTTTAAAGCAAAAGCTGCAAAATGTCAGCTTGTGAGCCACTTCTAGCTGTCAGGCATATTTAATTTGGTGCTAAGACTGGAACACCAGTCATTTGTATTTAAAACATATGTATATATGTAGGTATCAGTAGTATGTGCTTATGCAAGGTGTGATCAAAAAATATGGTGAATGCTTATATTAAAAAAAAAAAATTACTACAGGGCTGGGCGAGTGGCTCATTTGGTTAACAGCTCGCTCGAGAGTGCGAGCTCTGAGCAACAGGGCCGCCAGTTCGATTCCTGGCCTGAGCTGAGCTGCCAAAAGGTGGCAGGATGGCTCAGCTAAAAAAAAAACACACACACACAAAAATTATACAATAAAAGACACATTGCCATTAATCCCTCTCAAAATACTCCCCCTCGCTTCTAACACACCTACCCCATCGTTCTTTCCACTTTCTGAAGCAGTTCTGGAAGTCCTCTTTCATGAATGTCTTTACTTCATCCTCTATCATGACAACACTCTGTGTCACATATCCCGACTGGTATATGGCAATGTCTGTCAAATAAAAATATTACTGTGTGTCCTCATCTACCTCATTCACTGGATCTGGCACCGTGCACCTTCTGACTCTTCCCCAAAATCAAAATGACCGTGAGTGTGAGCCAGCCGAGTGGCTCAGTTGGCTAAGAGCTGCTCAAGAGTTTCAGCTCTGAGCAACAGCAGTTCAATTCCCAGTCCAAGCTGAGCAGCCACTGAGCTGCCAACCTGTGGCAGGATGGCTCAGCTTAGAAAAAAAAAAAAATGACCGTGAAAGGAAAACATTTTGAATTAATTCAGGACATCAAGGCAGCCATGACAGTGCAACTGAAGACACTCACGAAAGAGGGCTTCGAACTGCTTCAGAAAGTGGCAAGAACAATGGGATAAGTGTTCTAAGTGAGGGGGAGTATTTTGAAGGGAATTAATGGCAGTGTGTCTTTTACTGTAATTTTTTAGGTAAATTTAAACATTCACTTATTTTTTTTATCATACCTTGTACATAAAGCATACATAAGAAACTGGTAACAGTAGGTTAAATTAGGTAAGAGGAAAACTTTCCCTTGTATCCCCTTGAAGCTTTGAGTGTAGTAATGGGTGCGTGTGTTTAAAAAGTAAAGAAAATAATAAGTTGGAAGAAAAAGATAAGGTGAGAATATTATATAGTTTTATATCAGCTTTTGGAATGTAGGTGAAATGGATAACTTGCTAGAAAATGAATTGTCAAAGTAGACTCAAGTAAAGACAGAACTTGAATAAATCCATGATAATAACATGAAGAAGTAATTAAAGAATTATTTCTAGAAAAGGAATCAGGCCCAACCAGTTGTATAGGCCAGCTCTTCCATACTTGAGAGAATAAATAACTTCTATGGCACAGAAATTATTAAGGAAAAAAACAATCCAAATTCACAAATATATTTAAAGATTTGTCAGCAAGGCCATTAGTGGTTAAGGTATGTTCTAAAAACAACAAAGCTTTACAGTGTAATATTTAATGGTCTCATTTTCAGGTTCACCAGGCTGGTCTAACCTGTGATTATTCAGAACTGCCTCATCATATCAGCACAGAACAAGAAATTGAGGATCTTATTCAGTCTGTATATTATTTACTGAAAAATTTACCAAAACCTACTCTTGTGACAATTGCAAGGTAAGTGTGGTAACCTGAATAACGGCCCATCAAAGATGTTCACTTCCCACTCTCCAGCACCTGTGAATATATTGGTTTATGTGGCAAAAGGGACTTTGCAGATGTTAAGTCAGGGATCTTGAAATGGGAGATTATCCTAGATTACATGGGTGGGTCCAGTGTAATCATAGGGGTCCTTGTGAAAAGGAAGGCAGGAGGGTCAGAATCAGATCAGAAGATGCTGGCTCTTGGCTTTGAAGGTGGAGGATGGGGCCGCAGCTAAGGAATGAACGCAGCTAACCTAGAAGCTAAAGAGGCAAGGAAACCTTTCCTCGAGCCTAGAGCAGTCCTGCCAGCACCTTTATTTCAGGACTCCGGACTTCCGACAAAGCTTAAGGTAATAAATTTGTGTTGATTTAAGCCACTAAGTTTGTGGTAATTTGTTATAGCAGCAGTAAGAAATTAATACAATCTCAGATGAATCTAGTGATCACTAATACAAAATTCTTATTATTTTTTTTTTATCTACCAACTCAAATTTCAGGTGTACCTTCTCTTTCCTATTAGTAGTGGTTGGCAAACAACATGTTATCTTGTCTTTGAAGTTGGTGGTGTTATTCAGATGAACACAGGAATTCCCGTTTCTGTGTCCTACAGAGGAAGAGTAGCTGCTGCCATGTTTTAAATTTGAACCTACTACTATGCTGAATAGTTAACAACAGTTTATAAAACCTTCTTTTCTATGTTAATCTTTGGGCTGGTTTTATACAGAACTATAAGGTTCTAAAGTAAGTACTTTAAATACTCAAGCAAATAATATTGATATATTTTATGACAAACATTTCGTAACATCCTTTTACTATTCTGAAACAAAATGTCTCAATAATCTAGCCTACATACACCCACATTTTAAACCTATAGAAATGTTATACATAATATATAGGTAATATAATTGTCTTAGTCCATTCAGGCTGCAATAACAAAAATACCATAGACCTGGTGCTAATAAACAACAGAAAGTTATTTCTCACAGTCCTGGAGGCTGGGAAGTTCAAGATGAAGGCGCCAGCAGGTGCAGTGTCGTGCTTAAGACCTGCTTCCTAGTCATGGACAGCTGTCTTCTCCCTGTAACCTCACACGGTGGAAGGGGTGAGGGAGCGCTTATAAGGGCACTTATCCCATTCATGAGGAGTCCACCCTCATGACCTAACCACCTCCCAAAGGCCACACCAAATGTGATCACCTTGGGGATTACATCCCAACGTACGAATTTGGGGAGAACACAAACTTTTAGTCTATAGCAATAACCTAAGTATATACATAATTTAAGTGTATGTTTACATATGTATACATACACAAAAATATCGTAACATAAAGGAGAAATGAAAGTAATTGATAAGAAATAATATGTATTAAAATGCCATACTTAACTTACATCTTTATAAAGAGTCACTAAATGTAACAGTTATAAATGCAGACAGATACTCCCATGTCGCATGGGCCAAATCCCAGGAACAGTGCTGCCATGGTGACATGGTTTTTCTAGCCAAAACAGCCTCATGGTAAAGTCCTGAACTTAAAGTCCAGTCTTCCCTCAATTGACAGAGTAGTAGTTGTATTTCTGGAAAATTTAGTTCATATTGAATCCATTTTCAAAAATACTCTGTTCATTTGTAGAAGAGTGTTAAATTCTAGGTTCCTAAAGTTAAACACGGGAAACAGGTTGTGCACGTAGGTGAGTGCGGTGTGAGTGGATTTGGGAAGGATGCCGGACACAGGACGTTCCTCATGCTCTTATTGCAGGGCTACCCTGCATCTGGTAGGCGTTCCTGCATTCCTGCAGCCCTGCCCTCCTGCCCCAGCCCCCTAATTGTGATTCGACAACACAGATTTCCAAAATTCCCTCTTGAGCATAGCTCCCATGAAGAACCACTTTAATAGTGTTAAAAGAGGCCAGAAATCTTTTTGAAAGCATTTAAGTACCCTTTATTCATTATAAATTAATCTGTTATATATGGTACTTTTTTTTTTTTTAGAAAGAATCCTTGATCTTTTTAAACGAACACCATTATTCTTACCTATGTTGCTATACCGTTTTTTTTATAAACACTATGAAATGGATAAAATTATCTTGAATTTTATGTAGTCTTTTGTTTCTCAACAAGGCTCCAAGTTGGGAGCAAGTCATCTATCCTTTCACAGCACTTAGAAAAGCAATTTTTACAGTGAAATGAGGCCCCAATAAACACTTATTAAATGTGAAAACTTCGTAAGTTTTGCTAAAGGGAATCAGCAAAAAAAAAAAAAAAAAAAAAGTGTTATATCAAATAGCGTCAATGTCTGCATAAGGAAGGATATGCAGTACATAGTAATACCTAACCTGAGAAATAAATATAAAACAAAATATATTTTTATGACATGAGAAAACATTGAGAGGAGAGCTATGTTACTGAAAGAATTGAAAGCATATCTGTTCAGATGCATCCCATACGTAGCGGAAAGTTTAGCTGGTCAATATAATTAAGACTACAACAGAGTAGGAAAGATTAGTAGAGTAGAGAAAAAGATATGCAGTCTTTGACTGAAAAAAAACATAAATTTGCTAAATAATGTCAATAATTAAGCAGAGACACTCCTTTCTCATGAGGCAATTCGAACTGGCATCTCAGATGTTATTAAGGTTGTTAAAGCTCCAAAAACTATATGGTACTTTCTTAAAGTAGGTCTTTTATGTGTATGTGTTGGACAATATTTAATAATTTTAAATTGCTCTATGTTATTATGTGTTAAATATTTACATCAAGCCTCAGAAATACTGGTCACCAGAGAATGGATTGAGCTTATCAGAAGTCTTACAAATTATTTCTTTAGTTCTGAAATACTTGTGATATAGAGCAGGCTAGATAACTAATTCCATTTCCTTTTATTAAGATTTCTATGCCACTCTTTCCAATCTATCCCTCTAAATTGCTTTTCTTACCCCCGTTTAGAACCAGGAGACACTGATTAGATTGTTTCAGATCTTAATCCAGATCTTAAAATAATTGTCAGTGACATTGTAACTGCCTGGCCACTCAAGTCGTAGTTGTTGATTTTAGAAAGACTCCCCAAAACCGATTTCTGCCCCATCTCATGTGGCTCTTTTCTCAGTACTACCTAGGAAATTGATCTCAACACCAGCACATCCCCACATTTCATTTTGGATGGTCCTGTACACTTGTGTAGCTAACAAATTGTTCTTTGAAGCAGGACCCTCTTATCAATTGGAAGGCCTCTACCGTCACAATTTCTATCCTTTAATGTACCCATAATAACAGCATGAGAAGGCTGCCTAGTCACTAAGATAATCAGCCCCAGTATTCTCAAGCAGCACCTCCTTTCAGGCAAGCAGCCGGCTAGCAATTAAGCACTGAGGTTTTGAAGACATGTCATATGCTTTTGAAAGCCGTCACCAGCACTTACAAGCTACTAGCAATGTGACCTGTGCAGGTTAAACTGTCTCTATTACAGATTAAAAGGAATCTGTAAGACCTCTGATTTCATAGAGTGGTTGAGAAGATAAAAGAACATAATTTCTGTGTGATGTGCCTGACATAGAGTAAATGCTTAGTGGCTTTCAACTGTTATTATTCCACAAGTCAACACACTTGCATTTCTGTTTACATTGAAATCAACACATGCAGGCTTTTCCTCACTTCGCAGTATAATTTCATCCTACTTACGTGAATTTTTCTTTTTCTTTCTCTTCTTGGTCCCAGGTCAAGTCTGGATGATTACTGTCCTTCTGAGCAAGTTGACACCATTCAAGAAAAAGTCCTCGACATGCTACGCTCCCTCTATGGGACGCTAGACATCCACCTGGTGTATTCAGCAGAGTCCTCTCCATCTTGAAACAACAAAACACTAGGCTTCTGTTACATCTTGATGTAGTAACAGGGTTTTCATTAACTTATTTATGAATGAGTCTTCCAGAGAACACTTTTGTGTTTTTATATTAACTTTTACTTAAAATCTTCCCGGTATCATCAGTTGTTGTATGATGGCAATTTTTTGGCATCAAGTCTACCCCCAGTGGATGGCACTACTGCTTATCTTCCTTCCTTTCTATAATTGTATTCACTTTTGTGAAGGCTTTTTTTCCCCCCTTTTTCCCCTTTTTCCTGTAGGTCAGTTGGACTCTGAGATTCATTCATTAATTGATTTATTCCCTCAGCCAACTGACATTTATCGAGCACTTACATGTGCCAGACATGATTAAGTGCTGGGTTTATGGTAATGAACGGAACAGACGAGGCCCCTGCCCTCTTGACAGACAGCTGAGAAACAGGTTATGGAGTATAAGGTATGTTAGGAAGGAAAGGACAACCGCAGCCATGTCTCAGCCATGCTCACGGTACTCAGGGCGCCCCGGCCTGACAGGAAAGCAACATTCTCAAAAGCTATCACCAAAAATAATAAACTTTCCAGCCCATGGAAATACTGCAGGAAGTCTACCTCTCCAATACTGTTGGGACTGTGGCCCCGCTCTTGCTCAATGCTCTCAGCCTTGCTGGCATTGAGGAAATCTGAGTAAACTGAACTGAACAAAAGTTAACTTCAGTTTGCTAATCAGAAGAGCCCTTCTGGGTTTTTGTGCCTCCACGATGGTCAGTGTGGATTATCATAGTTCCTAAGTGCCACTGTGTCGGCAGTCTGGGTAGATATTTCTTCAGATAAACCAGCTCTTTATGTAAATAGTAGGGGGAAAAGTAAAATCCTTAATTCTGGCCTACCGTAAATACTGCCTCCCACCAGCCTCCCCGTGAGTGAGAGACCCTACCTGAGTCACTCTTCATCTTGGAACTATTTGTTAGATTAATTTGCCAAAGTCTTTTCCCTCTTCAGTATCCCTCATATTCAGTAATCATTTTTACCTACTTCTTTTAAAAAGTAGGATGGCATTTAAAGAAAAAAGAAATCCATTATTCCTCCATCCTAACACAGTAGCTGTTTTCACTTCTGCATGTAACTTTTGGGCCTTGAGTATATGTGTATGTGTTGAGTTGCATGTAACTAAAATTATCTATCCTGTGTTACCTATCGATGGCTAATACCCAAGGTCACGTTACCGCTGCCACTCAGTAGATGGCACCAGATCCCATTTTTCCAATGATTCTACAAAGGGTGCCAAAAAAATGTATATACATTATAAGAAAGGAAAAAACTGGGCCAGCCGAGTGGCGCGATGGTTAAGAACTGGCTTGGGACGCCAGAGGGCCCCGGTTCGGATCCCACATATGAGGGCCAGTGACACTGCCCTCCACAGCTAAGATGCTGAACAACAACTCAACCTGGAGCTGGGCTGCCATGAGGCGACGGTGTAGGCTGCAGACCCTGCTGCAGTGGGTTGCCATGGGCTACCGTGTGTAGCCAGCAGCCAGCGTGAGCAGCCAGCAGCTTCCGTGAGCGGCCGTCCAGAAGCCGGCGACTAATGTGCTTCGCCCGGGAAGAGCGCAATGATGGTGCCAACTAGGGCCAGTGAAGCAACATCCTCCACAACTAGACTGAAGAACAAAAGGACAGCAATTTGTCTGTTCCCCTTCCCCCAATTCCCCAGCACTGTTCCCATTCCCCCAATTCCCCAATAAAAATCTTTAAAAAAAAATAAGGAAAAAACTATTAAAATTGTAATATTCAATATATACAGATAACAAAAGATGAATACAAGTCCTATGTATACATGTTTTTGGCACCCTCTGTATTTTCCAGTGAATTTTTCTTGTCACCAAGTTGAGTTCCAAAGGCTGATACTGTGAATGCTTCTTTCTATTGTGAAAAGTAAAGCAAACTAATTCAACTTTCCATTTTGATTGAACATTATGTGCCAGAAAGATTTATTTCTCCGAATTGCAAAATAGTGCTATTGTTTATTTTTGTTTTGAAAAATTTTTATTATAGTTCTGTAAATAGATATAATTTTGTGTGCTAAAAGAAATAAAAAGGTGTGTATTGAGGTTGTAAAGATTTAAAACCAAACTTCAGCACTAATTGTATGTGAAAGCATTGATCTTAGGTCTGGCTCAGTAGTCATTTATTACAATTCCCATGAACTGATGTGATTCATCATTGTTGTAACTCAGCAACAGGGCATCAAATTCCTTTGTAGGAACTTAGATTTTTTAGTTCTCATGCTCTGTAATTCTCTTGGAAGAATAAAATTCAGTCCCTCCTTGTTGACTAGAACCAACTTAGTAAGTTAGGTCTCCATGCCTTCCAAATAGGAAGATGTTTCGTTTATCACGACATCCTTCCTATGTGTTCTAAGTACCAATGAGGAATACCACGGTACAGTGTTTTATATTATGTACAGATATCACTGAGACATGGGATTTTTTTTTTAATGTGACTTAAGTATAATCCTGGGCCATAGTTTCAATGTCTTTAACTGTCCTAGGTTCTCAAGGAGTTCTTGGTCAAAGTCCTTTATTTTTTGTATGATCTCTGCAAATATTCACTCTTATGTTAGCAGTAGTAGCCCTGGATTGCTGGCTATATATCCATCTTACTGCCAATAGTTTACATTCAGTGGTGTGTTTCTTAGTACAAGATTATCTTATTCACTGTGCATCTTAAGAGAAAGTACTTTCATGACACTTAAGGAGATTCGTTGGACACCTTTCAGCAATGCTTGAGATACATGAGGACCAGCTGTGTACGTGCTCATTACTGGACTGCCGTCCTGCCCGGCCGTCCTGAGGCACCACATGCTCTCAGTGCTTCCGAGCTGACTGGCCCTGAGCAGACTCTGGTTTCTGAGTTCCAGTGGCACTCCTAGGATTCGAAACATCGCTGCCATCCTTCCCCTCTCCTCATCAGTTCCACAAATGAAGCTGTGACTAAGGCTTCTGTAAGCCTTGCTTCTTAGGAGAGCTCTGAACGCTGAGTGTTCTGGTCATTCACTGGAAGGTGCCTCTTAATCACTGCAGATTAGTAAGGTGGCCCTCCACATATTCGTATTCTATGAACTCGCTTCCTGTGATTCGGAACCAGGAGCCATTACAGAGGGGGAGGCAAGGTGAGGCTGCACAGTTTCACTTCCTTTGAAGGCCTTCCTTGTTGACTGACTACTCGGCCGGCCTCCAGCCACAGCATTCCTACCATATCTCTAACTTCAGAATGCTCTTCAACAGCAAGCCGATCTCTGAAGCCTAGCGATCAGCCGGCAGCACTGTTTAGAAGCCTTAGCACCTCGGTTGATGCGAATCATGCCAAGATTGAGACCAGGAGCATTAGGACTGGAGCGTGGACGGTAGAGCACAGGGGTCAAGTGTGAGCTTCCGAGGGCTACTGCCTGACGCCAGTGTCACCTGCATGCCTCAGCTTCCTCTTCCACAATAAGAGCCCTTAGCTCATAAGATATTGTGAGGAATAACACATCCAAAGCCCTTAGCACAAAAACCACCCGGTGAGCATCGGCTGTCATTTCCAAGCAGCCCTAACTAGAACATCCTGTGGTGGCCCTGGCAGGTCTCCACTGCTGCTCATGCTCCCTAAAGACTGATTTTTTTAAACTCCACATTAGCTTCCACTTGATTTCTGTTATTTAATAATGGGATTTCAGTTTCTTTATTCAGAGAAGGCCAATAAGGGAAGAACTAACGGCTCTAGCAGAATAACTCATAATTTAAAATTTTTGTCTTGCAATTGATACAAGCGTCCATTTATTCACTTTTAAAACTTGTACTCGTGTAGTCGATGGGGAGGGGTCAGGGAAATCAAAGCCTGCCCCAGCTCTTTTCCTCTTTACACTTTCCCTCCTGCCTGCTTGTAAATAAAGCCAGGATTTGTGATGCTAAATCTCTGATATAGATGATGTTTGGCAGTTGCTGCCCCCAGGACTTAAAAACTACGTTCGTAGAATCTAGGGTTATCGTTAACATCTTTTTTTAACTTTATTGGGGAACAGTGTGTTTTTCCCGGGACCCATCAGCTCCAGCTCCAAGTCAAGTTGTCCTTCAATTCTTAGTTGAGTGCGCAGCTCTGCTGCAGGTCCAGTCGCTGTTTTCAATCTAGTTGTGGTGGGCGCAGGGTGCAGCCCACCATCCCATGTGGGAGTGGAACCGGCAACTCTATTGCTCAGAGCTTGCGCTCTAACCAACTGAGCCACCCGGCCGCCCCTATCTTTATCATTTTTGACATGGCTGATTTATGGGTGACCTCAAGCAAAAAAATCCCTCATGACTTGGCCAGAGCATGACAGGGAGGTGGGGGGTAGAGCATCTCCAACCAATTCATTATGTCGGAACCCCTTCCAAGCACTTCCTTACCCTGGGCCTTGGCTTCACCCCAGAGCAGCCTCCTCTTGTGGAAGGTTAAGAAACAATTAGAAAGGGGGAACGCCTCCTGTCAGCTTGGCCTAATGAGGCCGGTAAGCAGCCCTTCAGACATGACCCTGATCATCCCAGAACGGAGAGACGGATGAAGTCGGCATTGGAGGTGGGCTTGAAAGCCAGCTTCTGGACAGAAACTACCCTGAGGTCTGCACAGCAGCACTGTCCGCCCTCCGCAGCACTGCCTCATTGGAAGCAGGCACAGAGAATTAGTGGCACTAGCATCACAAAGTGGAACCTGAGGGATTGGTGGCTTGAAATCAGTCCAAGTTCAGATACTACCTCAGCCAGTACAAGTTAGGTGAACTTGGGCAACTTAACCTGTCAGAGTCGTGTTTCAGAGGTAGTTTGGGGCCCTCCATGTTCCTAGGGGACTCGACTGTTCCAGCATCACACGTTACCTAGCTGTGTACATCTGCCCTCCCCAGTGGATCATGAGGGCATCATCACACATCTTGTGTGTAGCCCCAGTCTCCGGTGTAATTCCTGTCTATCACAGGGCCTCAAAAAATGTTGAATGCACTAATGAGTACAGAAAATAGTGATCTCTGCAGGTTTGGCAGTAATAAACCTTGCTGTACGTCTCTTGTGCGTGTGCTCTCTTTGAGAGCAAATTGAACAAATATAGGTTGTAATACAAGAGCAAACATTTACCAAGGATTAGACATGTTAAATACATGAGTACAAAAGAGCTAAGAGATAATACCTGTAATTGAATGATTGCTTTCATAGAATATCTGTTACAAACAAAAGAAAGGCAGTCATGTCAGTTTTCCAGCTATTTTGTCATCTGTTTCCTTACGAATAAAACCTTATAGAAATTGTTCCACGATGCTTATGTCAACCTGATGTAAAAACGCATATAGTTTGATTTCCTGCCTCAAATTCACATCTAACATTTGACACTACTGTCCGAAAACTATAGGAGATGAACTTTTGGTCCCTGAAAAGAATATTGCTTTCAGATTATAGCTTTGCTGACTGTTGGAAGAGTAATGCAATTCCTCTCTTACGATTTTCCTTCCATACGGAGGCACCTTCCGTTACAGCCCAGGCCTTGCTCTGCCCTTTTACTCCTTCGCAGGTGAGGAGGCGTGAAAGAACAGAATTTCGGGATGCCTTCTTATAGAAGGATATGTTCTTCTCTGTCCTTCCGTGCCATAAGTTTGTAAGAACAGGCACCATGGGAAAGGTTTCTGATTGTTCAGTGGTGCCAGTGGACATCAGTACCTATCTCTGGGGTGCAGTGTTAGGAAGCCAGTCGTTACCACAGACAGAAGCCATGTTCTGTAATAGCAGTTTGTCAGTAATGATGATACTTTTATCTCCATCTGCCTGAATGCCTGTGACTACTTCTAAGTTATGCAGAAAGTTAGAATGGTGATGTCTATTTCTTCCTCAAACCCAACATGACAATGCTTGGGCTTGTTAAATAGCACAGAAGGTTTATAAATGCAGTCGCTCTTTCAAATTCCAATCAAAAAGGAGTATATTCTATGCTCATTCTGAATAAACCCACAACATGTCTTCTCACTATGTAGTATTTTTCTGCTGGGCAGTATAAACATTTAAAAAAATTTTTAAGGTTTATTCTGCTTATAAGTGCTTTTCTTGGATGTCAGACTGGTGTTTTATTTTTCTTTGACATCATGCTAAAACAGGCAACACAGCATCCTAGTGACTTCTATACAAACAACAACCAATTATAGTACAAGATATAAATCTTACTTATAATAGCATAACTTCTCCAAACAAAAGATACCTATGAATAAACTAAATAAAAAATTACCACTTACAAGAAGAATACTAAGCTATTGAAAAATATAAATGAAGCCATGAATACCTATGGAAAGATACATGTTTA